CAATAGCATAACACAGCAGGAAGCAGTTCTCACGACATTAGTTTGCACAGACCTCGGCTAGGCACAAGGTGAGTTGACAACGCTGGTGAGCACACTAACTGCTTGCGACATTGACAGTAAAAGGGACATTGAAGGTCATTACAACTGTCCACTCGTGTCGTGTTCAACACATGACATAGGCAATCGATGGCACGTTAAGGTTACTCACATTAATGATCTGTGGAAGCCAATACCACACAAGTCACACAGGCAATAATGATCACTGGAAGATATTGCACGTCACAATTCCTGAAAGTCACTATTTCAATAAATAAATAAATCGAGGAATCAATACAGGCCACCAAGACTCTAACTTAGCCAATGAATAACTCTAAAGTCACTGAGACGCAGATAAGCAATGCTAGAGTGACTAAGGCGCTAACATTCACTGAAATTAATAGTCACACAGACAGTAATAACTGCAAGTACCACAGGTCAGCGAGACCTTCTAAAATAATCCTCATACACCTGAACAAGTGTCAGAACATGCCAACTGGAGCTGATAGGCTAACAATTCCGCTCTCACCTCAGTTGTTCTATCTCCCGCCTGTGTCGGCCGTTGTACAGAGATTTACTTGAGTGGATGGTCGATCACCAGATCATCACACGGCAACAATATGGAAGTGTAGAGTGCTTATTGTCTGGGCGGCATTCACACAGTCAACCTCGTTCATTCGTCCTTCGAGCTGGACGCTGCCGCTCGTGGACTCCACTGACGCATCACAATATGGCGGAATAAATGGACAGTGATCTCCTCTTCCAAGTACTTCCACCTCAACACAGACCGCACGTGGTAGGCACTTTACTCGGTAGGCTTGCAACAGCCATTGCAACACAGTTGGACTGGCCGTCTCATAGGCTATCCAGGAGATCGAATCGAATAGAAGACCTTAGGGCAGTTAAACAAGGGATGGAAGACTGGGACGAGGATGCGAAAAACATGAGCAGGGAACAGGATTCAAGTCGGAGGAGGGAAGTACGGCTCGGTGGCCCAAGCACCGCGGGTTTGACTTGGTAGTGATACTGAACGGCGTTCACGTTGTCCACTTGCATCATTGGGCGTCGTACAGCGGCTCTGTTCTCAAGCTGGTGGAAGGGGTTGAGTTACGTCGTCGTCAGTGTTGGGTTATCCTTCTTAGGACGTCGTCGTCTACTCTGTGAGCTGCTTCTTGTCCTCGGAACGGGTAATGCTCATGATTCTAGGTCTACATCTTGTTCTTCCTCTGCGTTCTGCTGCGCGTTGATATGGCGGTGCAGTCGTCCGGGATTGTGCGTTTGGTATCCAGGAGGAAATCGTCAGGTCTGTAGTTTAGCTTCCGTTGCAGAGGGGATGGTATCCCCTCTGCAACGTATAATTTAACTGAGATATCCTCGTCTGACGAATCGGTCGAGTCAGAAGCAGAGGCAGTGTTCCTTGAAGGTTGAGTAGTAGCAGGTCCTGCAGCCGGAGTAGAAGGTACAGTGGCCACGGTCCTTGGAACGACGGTAGTTGATGGTTCTAAAGGAGGCAAGGTGGCAGGCTGTGCAGCGGCAGGGACGATGGGTGAAACTGTCGCCGGTGTCGCAGACTATGACGGCGTCGGCTCCGAGGCTGTTTCCTCTACCGGATACGTTGTGGGGGGAACAGTAACTGTAGGAGCGGCTGTTGCAGCAGCGGATAGCAGATCTGTAAGCGCGGCAGCGTTCAGTCACCTCGGGGGTCAGGGGGCCAGAGTAGAACTCGTAAATCCAGGAGATATCCCACAAGTCCTTAGACTGATGAGTAAGGCCCAAGCAACTGTTGCATGCGCACTCTGGAGAATATCCACGCTGGCTATCTCACAACGTGCATTCACATTGCACTCTTAAAGTAGACATAAAACCCCATTCCCTCACATTCAGGTGCTTGTGTGTTTTATTGATAGTAAGCATTGGAAGGTTGTTGCGGCTTCTGTGAGATTCCTGCATATAGTGTTAGCATTGTTTCATATGTACGGAATGCTAATAAATTGGTAATCATATGGTAGAGACAATATTACTTGCTATCTTATGGAATTATGGTATACAACATACATTATTTGTGCACTAAAATTGAATGGATACAATTGCAGCCTATATGTGATATTTTAATAATTGTATGTCGTGTATCTAATGATGACATTATTGTCCAGAAAGCTTAATTAAAAGATTTGGCAGTCATTTGCCTATGCATATAACGTACACAATATTGTCATTGTAATGTGGGAGTGTGTGAGGTGTAGCATGTGTGTGTGTACCCAAGTGTGGGCGTGTAGGTGTGGCAGTGTGGTTAGCTGGTTGTGTGTGTAGATCACAACCACTATCTGCACTGCTCCCTCTCCGCGTCCCCCCGTCGCCGCCCCCCCCCACCTCTCCCTGGGCCCCTCTCTCTCTCTCTCTCCTCTCTCTTCCTCCTCTCTCTCTCCTCTCTCTCTCCCTCTCTCTCTCTCTCTCTCCTCTCTCTTCCTCCTCTCTCTCCCTCTTTTCCCTCCTCTCTCTCCCTCTTTTCCCTCCTCTCTCTCCCTCTTTTCCCTCCTCTCTCCCTCTCCCTCCCTCTCCCTCCCTCTCCCTCCCTCTCCCTCCCTCCTCTCTCCCTCCCTCTCCCTCCCTCCTCTCTCTCCCTCTCCCTCCCTCTCCCTCCCTCCCTCTCCCTCTCCCTCCCTCTCCCTCCCTCCCTCTCCCTCCCTCCTCTCTCTCTCTCTCCGCCTGCTCAACACCCAAGCATCCTCCAGGACCGATGCCAACACTCCTCTCTCCCGCCTCTGGCCGTCTTCCACTCTACCTCACTTACATCTCCAGTAATACTGCATATTACATTTTTCTCGTTTGTAATAATTAATGTCTTGTCATTTTTGTCCCCACCATTCAGCACTTCATTGTGTACAGTAAATATTTACAGATCCATTTTATATGTGATTCAAAGTTCTTTATTGTAATTATATATTATTCCAAAGTATAGTAATTCTGTATAAATGTTGGTTATTTCCTGATTGTTCACATGTTAATTTTGATTTTTCTCCAGTGTGTAAGGTGATGTATTCATTCTTGACACCTGTGATGCATATTGTTGATCAGACAGGCTCCCGTGGGAGGTGGAGTAGCTGTCTTGCTTCATCACTCAAATATTTGTATTAAACCACTTTTTACCCCCAGACAATATAAGAAGAGATGTACTGTACTAAGAAAAGATGTGGATATAATATGATGGTAGAAAAATTGTAGGTTTATTATGCATAAGGAAATAAAGTAAATGCATTATTCTCGTCTCACGATAACATGATTGTGTGTTGTCAAGTTGCTGATAGTATTTATTTATACTATAAACTGAGCCGCATATATATATTAGTCGTTGCTACTGCTTGGCTTAGGCTTGGCAAAAACATCTCTGGAGGTTTGTATTAACTGCTGAAGTAGACCTGACCAAATGTCCGCAGAACTATTATATTATAATAATTTATAATAATAATTTGTATTTACAAGAAGGTACAGTGGGATTGAGAGATTACATAAGATTGGCATTTTTACATTCTTGCAAAGCCACTAACACGCATAGTGTTTCGGGCCTAGCCTACTCTCATATGTCTCCTCGTAGCTGAATGTGAAAATTAGAATTCATAGATACCGTAATTCTGGTACAAATGTTCAAGGAATGTGAAAGTATTTCATGCAAAATGTACTGCCATAAATCTTAACCAAATATTTACAAGTTTGCTTACTGTAGGTAGTGCATGCTTATACATAACTGTAAACTCGTGCCTCTACTCTACGCTGGATGGATATGGAGTGAATGATTACTGAATTAAACGACATGTAACTGCATGCATGGCTCACTACAGATACAAATTGCTCAGCTTAAAGACTGGTGTGTACCAGTTTCAGTTTCAGACTGGATGCCTGATGTTTGCGGTTAGCCTCATGCAAGTTTCCGTGATAAGATTGTACGGGAAGTGTCATAGGTGGGTCGGGTTGGCCTCCTTGCCCCTCCTTAAGTAAGACTGGCTTGTGACACCTAACGACGAGATAAAATGGGTCTTGCATAGAGTTTTTCACCGGAGCTTCCGCTGTTCTCCACACGTACAGATTTAACCACTACATTGTTATAACGTTGCAACAAAGTAAGAGTAGTAAAAACAACATGTGCTGGGTGCATATGTTTCATGTTGCGAGAGAGAGAGAGAGAGAGAATGAGAGGGTGAACCAAGATGAAGGGAGGGAAAGAGAACAGGTGGGAGAGAAATGGAGAGGAAGAGAACTACACACACACACACACACACACACACACACACACACACACACACACACACACACACACACACACACACACACACACACACACACACCCGCAGGCACTGCCGGGCCTCATCTAGATGATATAAATTGTTATTGACATTAAACCGTGTAACTAGCTCACGAAGATTGCTTACATAAATGAATTTTTAGGCTCTGCTCTTGAACTCATTATGTGTGTGTGTAACGTGCCCCAGTTGTGGGTTATCGTTCGTAGGACGTCGTCGTCTACTTGGTGAGCTTCTTGTCCTTGGAACGGGTGATGTTCATGCTTCTAGGGTCTACATCTTGTCCTTCTTCTTCCTCTGCGTTCTGCTGACCGTTGATATGGCGGTGCAGTCGTTCGGGGTTGTAGGTGTGGTATCCAGGAGGAAATCGCCTGCCCCTGAAAGATCTTAGTGATGAGCAGTCTATTGTAAATACTTAGCTTGAAAAATATTCCTTAGAATACTTCTTCGACAATTTTTCACCTCACTATGGCCAAACTACATACAAATAACCCTCCCACTCTCTCCCCCGACATCAGTAAGCAGTTTTACTGCACTATAGAACAAAATATTTGTATTACCATTATATGCCACAGACAATGCTAAATAGTCTCCCATGCTTGGCGCCTTCTTTTGATAATCACTTGAAAGATTTTGTTATATATTCTAACTACTCACTTTATCTTACAGGTCAGCATACGTGTCTTATGGAGGATTGCTGATGAGGCTTCAAGGTGATGCCAACAACCTGCATGGGTTCGAGGTTGATAAACACATCTACCTCCTAATGAAGAAACTTGCCTACTGATTACCTGTATTTCTACCTGATGATGCCAATGGATTTGTGAATTCTATTATTTTTTTGCATTGTTTTGTTGCATCCATCATTGAGTATCTGCCATACCATGTACAAAACAGGGACTATTGAACCCAATAGTTTGGGGGGCGCATCTCCAACTTAATTCATTTGTAATAGCTATAGATTCCAGCATATAAATACTTTGCCAATTTCTAATCATGCTTATTAAATATGCATACGTTAGTTTGAGTTTTTCATTGTGATATTTTAATTAAAAAAAATACAGGCTGGTCTGTAAGATTTGCTGTAAGATTTCAATGTACAACTTGTTGAAAGTTTAGACCTATTACAATGAAGAAAGGCAGTCATGTGTTTATTAAATGTATTTGTCTGTGAATGATTTTGTAATTCCCATTTGTATTCATTACAGACTTTAATAGAGAATTTGTAAAAGTTTTCATAATAAAGCAGTAAATTTATAAAATACTAAATATCCTTTACCTCAGTGTTATATTTTAACAAATTACTGAAATTTAGAATACAAATCAAAATGCAAGTAATTATCAAAAGGGACCAAACTATGAAGATTATTTAGGTAGGTATGTAGAACATTAAACATTCCTGCACTGTAACATTCTGGATGTTAATACGAGAGCAAAAAGACACGAGACTAGCAAAGTTAAAAGGCATTAAATTCACCAGAAATTTTATCAAGGGACAAGTGACATTAGAAGAGCAAGATTATCGTCCTGCAAATCAGGCCTTAATATGAGGAGGTACACGACAATAAGTGTGACAATGCAGTGCTGGCAGTAAGGTACAGATCTATGTTTTATTTCATAGCTTTGAGTTAAGCATGTGAGGCACACACGTAAAGTAGCCAGAACCGTTTCTCACTGATAAAGCGGTAAGAGGAAGGCCATGGGGGGACAGGTCACCTCTAATACTCTGCCATTTCATATTCACAACACCCAGTGATTCTCTCTCTCTCTCTCTCTCTCTCTCTCTCTCTCTCTCTCTCTCTCTCTCTCTCTCTCTCTCTCTCTCTCTCTCTCTCTCTCTCTCTCTCTCTCTCTCTCTCTCTCTCATTCACTCACTCACTCACAGTTGCAGATAATCAAATTTTGGGAGATGGGGAACCAACATAAACTGCTTTAACAGCAGAACCAGTCGGGTCGTTTGAGGCAACACCAGTAGGGCTGGAAACCAAACAAACTTTTAAATGTCTTTTACAGTATACTATAAAGATTAGGAATAGCTATTACTGGATTTCCATCACCATTTATATTGGTAGGGTTAAAAAGACACCAAAGCCATGAGCGCACTGCCAACCAACCACAATAGCAAACGAACGTTGTCACATAAAAAGTAACCAATGTAGTGCTTATAAAACTGCATAAAGCTCTTAAAGCTCTGCCATGGAACTGTTGTTTCAGGAGAAGGCAACATTGCTAAGTTTGATTAACACACATTACGGAATGGCCAAGACCGTTATGCATTCTTTGATCTATCAATAAACTCTGCATAAGTGCCAGTGAAATTCAATGAAAGGATATTTCATAGCGAAATATAGAAGCCTAAGACGTGTGGAGCAGACATATTTGACCCATAGTCAGAAACGAGTCGGAAACACTGTTAACGACTGCGATTCCAGCAGGTCGGTGGCGACTCCTACTAAAAAAAAATATATTGCAAAAGATGAAGTTTGAACAGTGTCTTAACAGAATATTACATGATAACTGATTTTGCGAGTAGCTCGTTAAGCAGAAAACAGCAATGTGTAAATACTGCGAATGTGAAATACAAGGGTGTATTACACACTCAAACAAGCTCTCTAAAACAGAACAACACATTAGAAATGCGAATTTAGTACATCAAACTCCAAAATTGAAGTTTGGTACTTTTCCCTGTCAAATTTAGTACCTATTAGGTAATAATTTTGGTATATGCATTAAAATATGTAGGTCAGGGTTTAGCTTGGAATTTTGGGTAATGTTGCCAAAATTCATTTTGGCAACACTGGCCCCATGACCCGGAGCCCCCGGCCACCGGCCAGGTCAGTCTTGTTACTAATGTGGTGAGGGGCAAACGCTCCCAGGTCGCCTCCGTCGTAGCCGGCCCGCCCATTTCTTCCCCTGGTAAGTGCCGGCCATCCATTATTGTTCTGTGGGGGATGGGAAAGCGCCAAGCCATTACACCTATATAGCCCTTGGAACAGGTTAGGATAAGGATTTGGGGACGGGAAGGTGCCCAGCCACTTGGACGGTCGGGGATTGAACGCCGACCTGCATGATGCGAGACTGTCGCTCTACCGTCCAACCCTAATGGTTGGCCAACTTATTAGGCAGTTTGGTCTAGTTCACCTGCGCCTCCACAGAGGTCATTGCTACTATTCGTTTGACCAATCTGAGGGAATGTAATATTGTTCGTCATTTACCCTATCTCGGGATTACTTCAACTCTATAACTGACCAATCAGGTAAGTTTTATATCTGCTGTTGTATGTCAACATTAGTTTACATTCACTGAAAGATTTACCTCGCTTCTCGATTTATTGATTGATGAAGATTGTCACCCAAAAGGTGGCACGGGCGTGAATAGCCCGTAACTCGCTTCTAGGTGTACCTGGTAGTATATAGGTTATTTTATCTCCAAATTACGTTCAGGAATAAGGTAAGACTTGCTGGGTGGTCGGTAAGTATTTATTCCTGTGGTTTACATATTGTTAGGTAGAGAAAATCGTGTTGAAGGACTAGTTGTGTATTTAAAGATGACTTACAACGAAATGTGTACACCATTTGTCGGTACGAATACAGAGTTTATTGACGACCAAATCACACACACAATGGACTGGATAATGGTCCAGGACGGACCGAAACGTCGTCTCTGTAATATATTATCTTTTTGATAGAAGGTGCAGTTTGCATGAAGGGTTTGTCCCGATGACTGCACGAGTACAGATGTTGGGAGACGCGTTCATGTTGAGAATGATAAGTTTCAACAGTGTTGTGTTGTAGATAGAGGAGCGGCGACTAAAGCAGAGGCGTGTGTTAAAGGGAAGTTTTCTGTTTGGGTGTTGGTGGCGCCAGGTATAAATATCACCAACTTGATGAATTGCTTCATGACAACATTCACAACACATTGAGATCTGTATTAACAAGTGCCTGAGCTTTGTATTTAGTGCTGCTGAGGTATTGCAAAAGATCCTGGGCTAGGTACTGCAGGACACATCTCGTGCAGACAACATGTCTGATGTTGAACATGACAAAGCTCAACATTGCAACACTTCGACAAAAATCCGACTTTAAGCCAAGCTAAGTGCGAGTTCAATCAAAATAAAACTGACTTCTTTGGACATGGCTTGATGACAAAAATCTTTCTCCAGATATTCTACTGAAGGTAGGAATGGTACAAAAGCAAATGCCCCCCATCCCTCACAGAACAGTTCAAATATTAGCCTTAACATATACAGTACTGTATTTGAAAAGAGGAGACTCTGGCCTGGCAACTCATGAAGATCTATTTGCTCAGAAATCAGTGACAGGACTGACATATTGCTGGGCAGGAGCTCGGTATTCCCAGAGTGCCACCCGTTAATGGCCTTTTGCAATGGGGGTTCAGATTTTGGTTCGAACAAAAGTTTGGCTATTTGTGCCTGGATTTCTGTGAAGCGTGCATTTATCTGTATTGCTTACGTTATGGATGTTTCTCCTTGAAGGTGCTGGTAACACTTCCTTCCTCCTTGTACCTTTGAGGGGAGGCCAGGTTCTAGCTCTGGTCCCTGGTAGGCCATACAGGACTAATGACTGATGAAACTCAGTGGTGGGAAACCATCTTGGGAAGACAGCTTTTAGGAGCCGCCAAAAAGCTCCTCCAGAAATAATGAGGTATTGCCTATATGTATAATGTAAATATAGAGCTGCTTATAATTAAGGATAAAGTATAAAAAAACAATAACTTAGTTGATGTGTGAAACTTCTCAGGAGTAAGTAGAAACCTTTTATTCAGACCTTTACATTATTACCTACTTATTTTAACACATATTAAACCTGAATGTTTATTAACCTTATTTCCATAAATAATTTAATGCAACAGAATACAAAGATAACTTCTTTTTTTAATTTACATGAAATATCAAACAGACCACTAGGGCTCGGTGCTAGAGAATTAAATGCTTCAACATCATGTTACTATACTTGAAAAGTTGTAGCAAGATGATGAGAGACTATTGATAAAACCCAGATAGACAAAACATTATTTACAAAGTCTATGCTAATTTTGGCATTTCTCTGCACTATTGGCCGCACTGTAATCTTGTCAACCAATCATTTTACTTGATTTTCATCTTCATTCACAACATTTTTATCAATACTAGTGTACAAAAATGATGAGCAAAATATTTGCAGGAACAATTTGAGGTTTAGCCAAGTAATGTTACTGATGGACAGATTTTTTACATGAAGCACTTCAAGAGGCCAATAGATTAGTTTTTAAAAGTTGTTCAATGTCAACCAATATTTTTTGACTGGTTGTATATGAAAAGGGCTGCAATTGTTCCAAGTTTCAGTACTGCAGCCTAAATAGAAAGGGAGATTTATTTTTTTTTTTTTTTTCAACGCATATTACACATTTTCAAGTGAGCTGGTACAACCACACGTTTCAGATATAATCATTCTATGACACTTTTCTGACACATTAGCATATAATAAAGTATCTGAGGCTGGGGATTTTCCAAAGCATGTTTAGTTTTCCTAATACAAATAGTCAAAATTCCTCGCAAAAAAATATGCAAATGTAACATGTTTATTGCTATTATAAAATCAATAAATGAGCTTGGGGAAAAAAGGCTGGCCCCAGATTTTAGAGACATAAACTTTATAAGGTGTAAGTTTCATGTAAATTGAATAAAAAATGAAAGGGATATATGAATGTTTGTTACTTGGAAATAAATAAGTAAATAATAGTCTAAGGTGCTGCCATCTGTGGCTGAGGTTGACATCAACCAATTTCCTCCAAAATTGGCACCCTTACACATAGGCTTACGTGCAGTCAGGTGTACAAGTTTCATGCAAGTCGTTCTATAAACAAATAAGAAAAAAAAAACAAATAAGAAAAAAAAGATAAGAGAACTAATTATATATAGTTTTTTTTAATACTGTATATGCTATTGTGATAGCCGAGAGTCATAGACATGATTTCAGTTGACACTTGTGTTTGATAATTGTTTTTGACCATTTTGGAAAATTTTTGACACCTAATTCAATATTTTTTTCTCCTTTCCTATTTATGCTATGATGCTGAGACTTGGACCAGATGAAACCCTTTTTATATACAACTCATCAAAAAAGTTTGATTGAAATCGAACAATTTAAAAAAAAACTATCTACTGGCCCCTTCAAACTATTGATCAAAACCTCAAGCTAATTATACACAATCCTTGTTAACAAAACAATATTATTTTCTTATCAATAAATATGTGTAGACACAAACCACATAATTTAATGCCCTACCATTAAAATGTTTTGGATAACAAAATAATGTATAATAGATAAATAAGATAGTAAAATCAACTAATTAGTACAATATCTAAATTATTTGTGGCACTGTGTGAAAAATTGCTGTATATTACGGTTGAAGTTCTTAAGAGTTCCACCACAAAGCATATTGGGTTCACATTAAAAATTCTAATTACAAATATTCATCCTATTTAGTTAACCTTCATTACCTTTAGGTTATTAACTATCTACTGCACTTGTATCCAAAATACCTTTATATAATAAACAGCAAGGTCTCCTTCAGGCATTGTCATTTTAAAATTAAACACAACCTTACTGACACCAATTTTCACCCACATGCTATATCATAATATTTCTACTACACTGTCATTTTCAGTCTCCTCTCCTTTACCCTACCTACTTCTATTTTGTTTTTCACATCAAGCTATCATCATCTGGTCTCAACATGCTTAAATCACTTGACTGGCTTATTTTTTGGAGGAAGGGGGAGTTCCTGTGGCTTCTTGAATCTACCTCACTGCGATTGCTTTTAACTATCAGATCAAATCGGTCGTAGTTTTGTTTGGCCTACTGAAAACCAGAGCCGGAACCTTGCCCCCCCACCCCCCACCCCCACCCTCACAGTGGTGCACAGAGCAAGTGACATTCTGCCACCCCACCAGAAAGTATCCAGAAAGTCGGCAAAACGTCACAACTTTCACAGAACACAAACCTTCGAAATTGCCAAACAACTCTCCATACAAATCGAAAGAAAGACTTATGAATGTTTGTCTTTTGAAACTGTTAGTGTCGACAAAGCAAGTGGTTTTCCACCTGTGTATCTTCAGTGAAGCAGTATGAAGTAGTTAGGAGTTTTTATCCTTTTTTATATCCTGCCACCTTTCCTTTGTCTGTTTCATTTGTGTTGTCCTTTTTTTGTGTAGTTTTTTTATTGGCATCTCATTCCCAATACTGTCACCTTGTGTCATTTAACTTTGGCAGAGCCACTGTTGCATTCAGCATTGATGTTCGGTGCCATTTCTCAAGTTGTCTCGGGCATTTTTCTGCCTCCGGCCTGTACATGCTACTGAGCTGTCCTCATCACTTGACAGTCCTGGATTTTCTTTTCTTTTACCTAGGGGAGAAAAGTGGTAATCTTCCACTGTGGCCAGGGAAAGACTTAAGGTGGTGTTTTTGTTGGCCCTTGCTATTGGGCTGGGGAGCTTCATGCCCTCCAAAGGCAAGGGTTCGGCACTTTTAACCCAAGCAAGTATTTTCTTAGTCTGCAGCCTTCTGCTTTTTTGGCACAGGAGTCGGCAGGCCTCCAGAGAGATCCTTTGGGGATTATTTACATGACCAGGGATGCATCTTTTTTTTTTTGTCCAGTGGCAGCTCTCTGCCAATACTGTACTGTACTTGCATGCCATGGATTCTGCTTCAATGGGTGCTTTATGGGTTGATGCATACAACTAATGCATCAACTCATAAAGCCATGCATTTTCCTCCATGCATCCACACTGATGCATGGAGAGAAAACACTCGAAGTACACATTAACTTGATAATAAATACAAAATCATGATACTGTACACTAGAACTTTCATTATTCAAACAAGATAGATGCCAAAATCATTATTACAAAATAAGGATATATTATATTTTAATTAGAAACCAGTGATTTAAAACTTTTGCATTCAGGGGGGGGGTTACAGCCTCATTTTGTTATCCTGAGTGAACCAGCCTGTTCGGCCCCCTCACTCAGCAATGCATGTATTTGCACACATTTTCTATTTCTGAGTCCCCTTACAGGGTTAGAACTTTGATTTTAGTCTCACATTTCAGAAAATGAATTGTCTTAAAAATAATAAAAAATAAATAAATAATTGCAAAATGGATATGTGATGACCACTGTGTTTATAAACTACATTTAATGATTGATCTTCATAAATAGAGAGAATAAACAATTAATATTTATTCGATATTTTTTTAAACTGAAGAGTACAGTTCAGTAATCTGTTCAGGATGCCAGCTCTTTTGTGAGTATAGTTTATCAAAAGAGGCAGATTCACAGAAGACTTTATTGAGAGAGAATTGACTCAAAGGAACAGTTGTAATTATCCAAAGAAGGCACAAAGCCTGGAAGACTTTTAACCCCTCAACCAAGTATTAACATCCAGGGATGTTTTGCTAGTAGTGCGCATCACATCCCAAGATGATTTTAGATACAAAAAAAATATTTGAAACTTCCATGAGCCCCCCATGATGGGGGTCACATTCACTTCCCCCAGGCCTCCAGTAAACAGAAGCAATCTTGGAGAAAATTGTGGGCACCCCTCCTGAGGATCACATAAAATAGCAACTCATAGCACTACCATTTAGGTCATGTCCATAGCATCACTTAATGATGAAATAAATAATTGCAGTAATTTAACAATATAGTGTTATACAGCCTGATAATGATAAACTACATTATGTACAAGGTTTGGATATCGGTGAACCCGATGCAGGTGCCACTGTTCACAGCACAAGAATCTTAAAGTGGGACCTTGTGTTCCTTTAGAAAATAAACTTGTGAAAAAATTTTCATATTCAGGATTTAGTGACCAAGTTTCTGATAATTATAGCAGTGTTTAGGCTAGTGCTAGAGGTGTGCAAAGTATATCAGGTGGCACTTTGCTTCAACATGTGCTTGCTGTTGGTACTTTACGAGTGTGGGGCTTGGATTACTGATAACGAGATTATCACACCCACCAGAACTGCTTAGTATTTATGTATAAGAATTGAATACAGTGTGATAACGGCAAAACGGTATGTTTTATTGTTTCATTATTATATCGTGGTGCACATATTGGTGACAAAAACAAATTTGTGCGTACCGATTACTGGTTGCTAGATCATCACACCTACCAGAACTGCTTAGTGGTTTGTAACAGTTCATAAACATGTAGTTATATATAATGTGTGTACAGTGTAATAATAGAAAAAAGTTTGTGTTCAATGAATATAATATTTCTCGCATATTAGTGACATGAATGTATTGTAATTTTGTGTCTTTGTTTTTACACACATTATTATAAATATTCCTTATTACATTATACAATAGTGTGATTTCTCAAATAACACTGTTGCATAATGTAATTGTAAAAAACCAGTGTAAAACAAATCAATATATATTTTTGCCCGAAATGCTGCGCGTACTAGTGGCTTTACAAGAATGTAATTACTATGCTATGTATCCTCACAATCCCAATGTACCTTCTTGTATATATATAAATAAATAAATAAAATTTGCTTTGGCTCCACTCACGTGTCGGGCCTGGGCAACCGACCTTCTCTTGGCGTCTGCTACATGACCATTTGAAAATCACTGACATCATTGTGAGATTTCATCTCTCCACCACAGCCAAAATAAGCTACATAATTTATATTTTTAATTTTCTCATCAGGAATGCATTTTAACTATTTTGAAAGAGAAAATTTTAATATTTTTCTTGCACAGCATGGAATTGTCATATAAAACATGTGTGCAGTGTAGGGGTTAAGCACCATCTGTGGCACAGAATGGTAAAAAAATAAAATAAAAACCAGTCATACATATTCAAAATGCTAATACCAAAAGCAAAAGAACACAAGACGAGTTATGTCAAAAGCATCGGATTCAATAAGAATTTTATTGAGGGATAACAGACTTAAAAGTATCAGTGAGAGAGAAATTTCTAACCATCCTGAAAATCGACAAATGATGGCACACGAAAAGTAAATGTCCCAGAACATGCACAGTTGCAAAGTTTAATAGTAAAATATTGATCAGTGGAGAAATGTATTGTGAAAGTGAAGCATAAGGCAGTGCAGTATATATGAAGCCTATGCCAATTTTAGGTACTGAGTATAATAAAAGTACAGTATTTGTATACTGTAAGTATAATACTGTACTGTATTCTTTAGTATGCTGTAGGTATAAAACAAATTTGATAAATAGGTGTATTGCACACTACAGTACTGAATTTTAAGTTTTTATATATTTTTACATTGCTTAGTTATTTATGTACATAATTTTGTTTGTACATAATACTGTACTATTATATGTAGTATACTGTATATTCAATAAATTTTGAAAGTGAAGCACAATTGGTGAGCTGAGCCATCAATAGATGGTAGTGCAATACATTTAAGTTTAAAATCATTCCATGGTTTGCCAAACACTTTACAGGCATAGAACATTGATTTTTTATTATACTGTATGTTGAAAAATATGGGGCAAGTCTAAAGTATATATGGGGCAACAGAGGTGTTTGAGTGTATGAATGGGTCTTGGTTTAGAGCTGTTTTTATCAAGATATCTTGGACCACAGATGTCAGTATCATCTGAGTGCTAGCAAATTATGTACAGTCAGGAGGAGGAAACTAATAGGAATTTCCAGTGGGGGCAAAGTGATAGTGAAAAGTCTTTGGGGCAAAGACTTTTCAGGGGTTGCGGGGTTGTTGTCTGGAGGGTCAAAGGACACGTGACCAAATGTGGATTTTAAAGTAGAGATCAAGCGGGGCACGGCAGTTCTGCTCTGCGAGTCAGATAGGACAAGGTTATCTGGACTTGATTTAGAATCTATACCAGTCTGCAATATCCGGGCAAACCTCTGGTTACCCAGATTGCTATTCTCATGTGGCGAAGTTTCGCCAGAGAAATATTCTGACGTAATTTTGGCCAGATAACCCAAATATCCAATTGTGTGGAATTTAGACGAGTACTGCAAGTTGATACAGTGGACTGAATGGTATTTTGGACTGGATGATGCATTAAAGTATCATGGTTAAAGTAAAAACAGATGATGTGCTAACATGTCACTGGAATGCAAGACTTTTTAATCGATACATGTCTCATACACAATAGTAAATTAAAGATTGATGTACTGTTCATGATAGTTTCCAGCTAGGAGCTCTGAGAAATGGAACCTAAAGTGAGAATACTTTTGTATCTAATACTCCAGGAAATGGTCCCAGGAGTGAGTATAATTTTGGTGAACCACAATATGAATGTGACCATGGTATTAATTATATTAATCTAAATCTAGGATAAATGATCTTCACTGAGAAAGTGCCTGATCAGCTACTCTAGCACAGCCATTGTTTCCTTACTATTATGGGGTCTTACAAAGGGTTTACACCCACATACACTATTATTGTACAGTATGCAGGCCTATACTACTGTCATTTATATCAAGTAGGGACCCAAAAATATATATCTAGCCTCACTTTCATTCCAATATCAGCACCTCAACTATATTTAAAATTATCTGGACACAACTGAAATAGTATGTAATGCAACTGTATCTGAATACAGTACAAGCAAATTTACACCCATGTACACAACACATTATTTGGCATTTTTAATGGATTACTCAATTATAATCCTAATGTTATAAGTTAAAATAGTTAATACATGGTGTGGTTATGTTGTGGGCCTGCATATGTAACTCCAACACCACCTTGAAGTAAGTGTGGCTGACCTCCCGGAGTAGTTTGTGCAACCGTATGGGTAGGTATGATAGCACTTGGATTAAATTGCTGCATGTTATGCTGAGCTGGAAAGTTACCAGACTGCGCATTTCCAGGTTGTACCCCTCCTCCAGACGACACTGGAAGTGATATAAGGTTTGACATATGACCTAGAGAGAGGTAGTAGGAAGGCATGTGACCGCCCATGGAGTGTAGATTAAGTGGCAGAGGTTGAGGCTGTTCCCCACCTTGTCCGCCGCCAGTTTGGAGATTTAGTGGCTGTTGTTGAGGTTGCTGAGCTGCTGCTGGGTTGAAAGCTGCTCCTGCATGAGCATTATTTCCCAAGTGTTGGAGACCAAGCACACTCAACTGGAGATTTGGAGGAAGAGGCGGTGGCTGCTGACTCCCCATATAACCTCCCATTTGTGTAGCAGGTGCAGCTGACACTGCTACACCTAAAGATGAGGTAGAAGCATCATTAGCCGTGTTATTGCGTGCAACATGATTCTCTTGTGGACGTGGTCGTGGACGTGACTGTTTGGTAGGCTTTTTCTTGGTAACCTGCAGAGCTCCAGATGCTTCCAAACTTTTCCGCAGGTCAGACAGCTTCCGCTTTACTGTGTTGAAGTCCATTGACTTAAATTCTTCATGGAATACTTTAAAATAGAGCCATGATTTAACCTTGGCATCATAATCTTTGATGACTTTATCTGTAAGAAACAACAAATTCATTTACTTTTAGAACTATTGGTTTTGTATCATTAATTTCCTATTATTCATTCTACTGTATACAAGTTATTCCAAACTCTGGTTACCCCATGTACACAAGCTATTCCTACTTCTTCTTACTACTAGTGTACACAATATATTTCCCTTTTTTGCTCAATCTTGTTCTTAAGATAGAGTATCAAAAAGAGCTAATCGAGTATGACTATTATTGTTCCTTCTAAGTGCTATAGGGGTATCGGTCGGGCTTGGGTGGGGGTACAAGAACTTTTGATACACTCCAGGTATAGTGAAGAAGCTACTCCCATTTCAGCTCATCCTACATAAATCTTGAATACAAGTTACTGAACTCAGTAACTCGGTTATCAGTCCTAGCATGAAAAAAAGCTATAATGATGAATACATCTGAATCCCTACCCTAAACTTTAATTTTAACTAGGCACAAAATAGTGTAATACTATATATTGTAATTCAACAAAATATACTACCCTGTATAATGTAAATCTATCAAGCCTAGTCTATGATTCAATGCAAGAAAATTTCAACACAATTATACACTTAAAACAAGAAAATAACTTTTCAGTAGTTAAAATAAATGCTGAATTATATAAATTATTTTAAACTCGTCCCTTTACCACACATTTGAAAAAATAAGATGATAGGCTGCACCCCTCTCTATCTAGGTGATACCAGTTACAGGCTCAGAAAATATAACACTCACCAGTTCCAGGGTCAATTGCTTCAGGTTCATACTGCTGAAGGAAACTCTTGTGGAGTTTTGATATATTGACATCTGGCCCTTGATTCTTATCTGTTTTAATGTAATCGCTACCATTCGGCCCCGAGAGCATTTTTAGAATATGATGCTTGATCAGAGTTACCAATTCAGGCGTTACCTGCAATATATACAAAAATAACCCATTAATAGTTATGTTTATTTAGTCAAAGAAGAAATCATTATGGAGTAACCTGTGGTTTCAGTACAATAACAGGAGATGGCTGCATATTGGATGCAAGGTAACATGATTATGAATGAGACCCCATTTCTGTCCGAACAGCAAATGCCCAACTGAATTTTGTAAAAAATAGTTAATTATGATATGAATTAGGCTTCACTAGAAAGTGTAATCATTTATGGCTACAATATGACTGAAGTAACATAAAACAGACCAGTCAGTTTGTGATAAAACTAACCCCACTGATGATGACCCCACTTTCAAGGTAAACTGCCATATAAATTTTGAGAGGCATTCAGAATCGTCAAAACTTCCCATCTGAGCACTGTTTGGCAACACTGAATCACAAACAAAATTCTCAATGAGTAATTCATAGTTATCCAAACTAACAATGGAAAATTTATTTTTTCTCTTGGTTTGTACTACTAGCACTACAAACCACAAATAGATTGTCTCATAGGAACTTAATTCTAGTCCCTGTATTGTGGCTGGGACACATTGTATTTGTACTGAGAGCTGTCTGTATAATGAACTGGCTATATCAACTTAAAATAATAAAGAGAAAGAAGTGACAGGGTGAGAAAAAGTGAAGAATGAGGAGTTCATGTTATACTCTAGTTGATTTATAACAAGGTAACAGGTGTTTGTTGTGTACACGACTGAATAATTCATGACATCTAAAAGCCCATTCACATAAATTTGTTCATATATTGCCCTCCTGTTTTACTAATAACTCGGTAATATATTTGTTATATTTCACATGCTCATTATGATGTACCTTGCATAGGACAATACTTACCAGTTACCACTCACACAATATGAAAGTGACAAAAGTGACAACTTTTTATAGTGACATTGTTTACACTTGCCTGTTGTCTGAAGTAATAAACTGCACAAAGAATACACAACACAAACCTTTTTGGGGCGATTCCGATGTCTTCCTCTATTGTCTCTTGGAAACAAAATATTCTGTTCATGTTTGATACACAATGTTCTGATTTTCTTATCCGATATCCCATGAATGTTAGCAAAGGCCTTCTTGCATACCTGAAGTGTAAAAATGATAGTTTGTAGAAATAAAAAAAAATGGTTTATAGTGGTAAAGGTTTACAAATATTACAGCAGCTCGGTGTCGACATTTTAAAACTTTCCAACTATTGTCGTTGCATAATGTCACGCAGGGGAAAACTTTTTATATTAATTTTAAATAGACCTGGTTTCATGAATAATACCTTCAGTTGTTGATTTGATTATGCGATATGCAAAGAACTTCTTAATAAAAAGTTCAATTTACATTTCAATGATGCAACAACTATCATTATTCTTTTATTAGCACTTCCAGATTGTTTCATTATTGAATCTACTGCACATTTGCAGGTCTGTTTGCATATAAACCAACCTGTCTTCCTACAAAGAACGTCACTTTTAGTTCGTGTGTCTTAAATAAGGCTAAAAGTTGTCATACTAGAAAATGGAAGCAACTTGCAAAAGTGACTTACTGTCCCATTTTCTGTTTTGGGTCCTCTGGTAGGTTAGGAGAGGACACTTTAAATTGACCGTTTTCTTGACATTGGGAAACCTTTAGGAGGAGGGGCTGTATAAACATCTCATTCAGGTTATATCATTAATATTTTGAAATGTTTTCCTATTTTCCAAACTGTAGTTTGAGTATACAGTATTGTATTCATACCGTTATGTGGGATATGAAAATTTGTGTACAGTACTGTAAATAATCATATATATATATTATATATATATTTTAAATATAAGTAACCTTGTATTATTGGCATTCAAATTATTTGAAGATGCCTTTGCTATGGGTAATTAGTGGATTCATGTAATACTGTATAAAATTACAGTACTGTACCTACTAAATAACTACTTTAACATGTTGCTCTGTATATTTTATGAATACAATATCATTTGTACAGCATTATTATTTATTATTATTATTAAAAATGTATATCTAACATTTACTAACATGGAGCTTAAAAATTTATATAAATAGGTTACACAGCTATCCTGTGATATAATTAAAATGAGTGACTACAAAACCCAATTTATACACAAATATTTTCCTAAAAAATCATCTGAACTATACTTGCTCAGTCGTACAGTGCAGCAGGCTACCTGTATATGATCTTCACTGAAAATGCTGTATCCACGAATAGGATAATTATACTAGCAAGTGTTTATTCACAATATCAAAATCCCAACATCATTTCTCATTTTGAAATATGTAAATGCATTTAGTTTTGGCACCATAAGTCAGACTTTGTTATACACTGTACAATACTTTAATATTTGACTTCAAATGGAATAGTTTTTGTGTAACTCGGTTCCTCAACTGCCTTTGAGCTAAATGTTCCTTGAATGGTACAACTTTTGTCCTCCAAAAGTAAATCGGTTCTATATTTTAATGAAATAAAACAATGGCATACCACTAATGCACAATACACTGCATTTAAAAAAATGTCATGATACCAGTATACAAAGGTCATAAATACCATACTCAGCCTTGGTGCTCTTATTTTTCTTATTAAACAGCAGCAGTGTGGGCATTACTGAAGTCAGGTAAGTTAAGTAAGAACCTAAAATAGAGTAAAGGCCAAATAACCCAACCCACACATAGGGAAATGAAAGTGACAATGTTTCAGTCCATCCTGAACCCTTATCAAGTTGTGACTCACAGGTCACAAGGTCACCTTGTGATAGGATAAGTCACCCCACGTGTACCAAACTGACAAAATGAATTATCAGTGTAAACAGAACAATTCTGTACTATTATGATAGTACCTAATGCACAAGTGGTCAGACTACATGGACAAGTAATAAAAAGTAAATATTTTTAAGTGTACATGTGAATTAATTGAAAAAAACATAGATGATAATCAAGTCACAAGTAAATGTCCGCAATGAAGATTGTAAAATGAGACAGGAGGTATGTTGCTAAATAAATGCTTGAAAAACAAGAGTAATAAGTTGGCAGTCATAACAAATTGCAGGCTAGTGAAAGTAGCTGATTATATATGAATAATCACAGTAGCAAATATAAATGAGAATACAAATATACTGTACTGTACAGTATTAGGAAACATTGGTGAAGACTGCAACTTGTTACACAAGAATCATGAAAATAGGTGCTGACTAGTATGTGAATGAGGTCTTGCACTAACCACCTTGGCATGTATCTGAGAAAGCTCTAAACCATTTTTTGTTAGAAGACTGAAGGCATGTGACAACTAACCTGTTACAGGAGATTCTGCATGGGCCACCTTGCACAGGGTGGGAGACAGCATTAAAGATAAAGAAAGGATACAGTAAATTCAGATAAATTTGTGAAGAAAATAGCTTTTTCATAAATTTTCATGAATATATTTCTGGGATCCCTTGCATCTTTCCCATATGATACCATTGATTGCTTCGACAGTAAAAGTGCATCATTTTAATGTTTCATGTAACCAATGCAGATTCCTTGTTATCCCTAAGGGAATGTCAATTTTGTAGTAATAGATCTAATTATACAGATACTGGTGAAAACCCATCTAGACTAGAGATAAATTAAAGGATTTAGCCTGAAAAATAAAAAGCATCTGATAAGAATAAAGATGAAGAACATGTGGTAGTTGTGTCTGTGATGTTAGGGCCTTGCACATTAAAAACTAATACAGTATTCTCAAAGACCATTGGTGAACACAAACAAACATGGAGCCTTACACTGCTGACATTTTCTTCCTATCCGCAAATCACCGTATGCAATTGATCCTTACGAGCTTTAAATTTTTGGTGTATTTTCCCCATGTGCACCACAAAGGACTTTTAAATAGTTTGGCAGTTTAATGGTGAACACAAATACAAATCAATTGTGAATAAAAATGCTTCTGTAATAACTGTAAGCCTTTACCACATATTTTGAACACCTATATGAATGACATAACCATCACAACAAAAATATTTATTACTGCAGGTACGTGCTTAAATTAGGAGATTAATGTATGTCTGAGATGCAATACTTCAGCTTTAATTTATCATCTCTTACTAAACACAGTATTTCATATACTGTACCTTTATAGGGGAAAACTTACCTGAATCTCCTTTCCTTTAATACGAATATAGTACTTATAGGAACACGTTCTTCTTTCTGAAACCGGTTTGCGCTTACGTTGTATGTCATGGCGACGAATGAGCCCATAGAGATAAGCATTCTGCTCATCATAACTGAAAAAAAATATATAGAATACATAACATAAATCTTTTTATTTTCAGTATTAATATTTTTAATGGGAAAGCTCACTTTGCATCACTTATACTGTAAATGTATTTTAAATCAGATTATAAATCATTAGGCATTCTACAATATATAGATTTTAACTGTGATTGCAACTTTGTGGTTTTCAACATACACCTATGGAAAGATTATAATAAAAATACAATAAATGCTAAATGAAAATTTAATGAGTACAGATTACCAAACAAAACGAGACATGTTTCGCAAGGAAGGTGTTCCTAGGCTACCACATCTCGGATTATGAAAAATCCGGTTTTAGTTGAATGTGAAAAGCTGCTTTCAGACCAAGAGAATCTAATGCTTTCTAAAGCAAGATTGCTTAATGTGCCATTGGTATTCAGAGTAGATTGATAATCTGGACTGGTGCTGCAGGTAACTTTTTATCAAACATCCTTGTCAGGTAAAATGGTACTAGAGAAGCACTGGAAAGAAGCTCAGTCCAGCCCAGAGTGACTAAACAACATTTACTCACTCTCAAAGCCTATTAATTAAAGCCCCAGTTAGCATCCATGCACAGTAATGCTACCACCAAACGGCTAGTTTCCTATTGGTCGCTACTCCTGACACCATATGGCAGCATTTATGCATACCCAGCCTCAATGTTGATCACATTCTAACTGATATATGCTGCAGAATGGTTATCTCTAAAGATGCAGGGTAGAAAGAAGATAGACCCTCCCCAAAAGAGTCACTTCATAACTCCAACAAGAATAACTAATCACCAGGAGGAGAGCATTCCAAGTGTGATATATAGACAGAGCTAGCATGGATTCTTGAAGTGGTATCGAGAGGCAAAGGTGCACCTGGACTGTCGTACTTGTCAGAACAAAACATCCCCAGAAAACCACCTTCACGATGGCAAATGTCTAAAGATCTGAAAACTGAAAATACGCCTGTGGCAGGTACAATTTCACTATTCTGCAAAGCAGCTGAGCTATACAGGCCTTAGTATAAATAATTCATACAAATAATTCATTCATAAAAAACAGTTTCTTAGTATAGGGAACAGTGGTATGAGAATTATGAAATAAGAGACAGCTTGAGTTGTTAACTCGGTCTTATAGTTTATTTCTTCTTTCTAGTCCTTCACCTTCTTTCTATATGTCAATGCTATCAATCAGAGCTATCGATGTGCTTTAATATACCTACTAATATCTCTCGTTTTTTATTTTCTTGTAATGTACCTGTTGACATTTTATAAATTTTGCTAGAATTTATCTACTTAAAATTATCTGTTACATAAAGGACCTGCCCGAAAGGCTGCACACACTAGTGGCTTTACAAGAATGTAAACACCATGCTATGTACCCTCACAAACCCAATGTACCTTCTTGTATATACAGTATATAAATTAAATAATATATTTTATTTATTAACTCTAATCACTCTTTCTTTGCAAAACTTATAATGGTCCAGGATGGGCCAAAACATCACTTCTTTTCTTTACAGATGTGAGTTGGGTATCTAATGTACCCAAAGACAGATAAACCAGGTTCAAAGTAAGCCTTGATGCTGTCTGAATGAAGAAATCTCATTTTTAGTCAAGAAATTAGGAATAGGAGGAAGATGCAGAGATACATCTTCCCGACCAAGTGTATTGAAGCCAAAATTCCGAAGGATAGCATGAAGCTTACTAACCTGGTTACTTATAGCCAAGGTGTGTTGGAACAACTTCTTAAGGTTGAGGTCCTTGAATGATGGACAGACCCAAAACCTGTCAAGACACAGAAAATCCAATGTGGATAAATGTCATGGAATGCAATGCAGAATGTGTGAAACCAGGCCACATTCATCCTACAAATTACTGTATGTTAAATAACACTAAAGAACTTGTGCCAGAAAGAGAGATCTAGAGGTGGTATTGGATAATAAACTATCACTGGAAGACGACGTCAAGGGCATGGCTATGAGGAGCCTACACTTGTGACCAATTTAAAGAGACAATACAGTACTTAAATTCAGACAGAAAGTGCATAAAACATTATTCGTGGCTTGTGCGAGACCTAAATTAGAATATGCACCAGTTGAATAGTGTCAACATCTCAAAAAAGCATATGGAAAATATCAGAAAAGCTGCAAAGACATGCTCTTAAAGTACTGTAAATGGCTCCTGAACTTGAAATGCAAGAACTATGAAGTGTGACTGATGGCATTAAATATCCAAAAACTAGAGGACAGAAGAAAGATGTTATAATCAACCTGTACAAAACCGTTACATGAATTAACAAAACTGAAAGTTTTCAGCTTTTAGAAAAAAAAAAAGATGCTGAAAACAATTTTGTAAATAATATTTTCCAAATAATATTTTTTATTTATATACACAAGAGTTCTTACATTCTGGTAAAGCCAAGAGCACGCATAGCATTTCGGGCAGGTCCTTAATCTTAAGTTTCCCTGGAATACGACCAGCCAAATCACTTGGCAACGAGGTACCATTCACTGCTGGGTGAACAGAAGAATATAGTTAAGGACTGGTGCCTAGTCAATCCTCCCCGACCAGGATACAAACCCAGGCCAAATCGCTCGCGAAGCACAGGGCAAGTGGTTTTTCCACTGCAGCATAGGGGACTATAATAGAGATTTCTATAAAGGTAGTATATGCCAAAACCATCATAAGCAATAAAACATGTCAAAGAATATAGTGAAAACAAGACAGTGCAAGTGTAGCTTTCAACCTGTAACTGTACTTAGGTAATTAATTACCCTAAGTGCAGTAACCTAAGAGATTAAATGGACTCCAATGGCAAATGGAAAGGCTGGCTGTGAAAGAAGACCACACCAAACATAAAAGGGGAGAACGTGAGAGATCCAAATTGAAGGAAATGATATAGAAGTGAGAAATATGCCACTGGAGAACCAGGCAGACCACCTCATGTTTGTAATCAGAGGATGCTTAAAGGTATTAGATGAAGAACATTACCTGCTCCTCAGAGATGATGGTAAATTCTACCTAGAAATTAAACACATGAAGATAAGCAGAGAGTGTGGAAGAATACTGGTTCGGTAGCAGGGTCGTTGATTTGTGGAACCAATTACTGCGTAACGTGGTGGTGGAGTCCATCGATTGTTTCAAACGTGGGTTGGACATGCATGAGTGGGATTGGGTGGTTATAAATAGGAGCTGCCTTGTATGGGCCAATAGGCCTAATGCAAATGGTTTTTCCTTTGGTGCATTCTCAAACTTCTTTATTCTCCTCCTTCAGGTTGCTCAGGTTAAAGGATGTTAGGATGGGGGAAGTATATATATGTTAAGGTGGTCAATGTGTGATTGATCAATACCCAAGAGGTCCAGCCAAAACCATTTGATTTAAAACAATGAATTTTATTTGTCATACTATACTGCATAGTATTAAATTATATTAATATACTGTATATCACATGTTGCATTAAAATAGGTAAAGTCAACTTAGGTTAAGTTGATACACAAAGAAATCACACTTAAAATGATATACAGTATCAATGAGAAAATCATTTGGAGCGATGAAACAACTCGAACCAGTGATCAGGGTACTCCCAGCTGCACACCTTTCCCTTGTACTATGACATGGTACAAGTTCTGCAACCACTAAATGCCACTAAATTTATAGAAAGTCTGAAGGGTACTAGTGAAGCCAGACCAGGTGTTACATATAACCTCCATATACTCTGGTATAGGTAAAGTAGTTCATCATACACTACAACTTCAGATACACACAGAAATCACACTGTGATATATCAAGCGTGAGCATATGGTTGGTGAACTACTCTACCTATACCAGAGGGTATGGAGGTTACATGTAAAACTTGGACTGGCCTCCAGTCCAAGTTTTACACATAACTTGGTATCCTCCAAATTTCCCATGGATTCAGTGGAATCCCAGGTTGCATAACTTATGACATATACATAGGTAAGGTGTGCAGCTGGGCATACCCTGATCGCTGGTTCGAGTTTCCTCGGTGCTCCAAATAATTTTCCCTAGTAGGTCAAGTTGAATTGGAGTTGATTAGACTGGTTTGGGTTAGGTTAGTTATTAACTCTTTTTCTGGTTATCGTCAGTTGTTGATTCACAGGGTAATGCGGTTATCATATAAAAATTTTAAAAATTATTGTCTGGGTTTTACATGATGCAAATATAGATATAATAGGTCTATGTGGATATAAATAAAGAAAAATAAGTGATAAAACTATCGGTGAAACATCGGATAATAAAACAGTGTCAGCAAGGCAGACCAACAGGCATTGATAAGTGCCAGATGCAGCCTTGCCTCCACCTAGCAAAATGATATTTACTTATATTTGTGTTTTTCTTACATTCTCCATGCAAATTAATAATTCTATAATGAAAAATTATTTATTGAAATTTTTAAATTTTTTATGCATAGGCAGGTATGATCTTTTCTCTAGCCACTGTCTAAGGGTTTAAATCTAACCTAACAGGAGGGTTCTGGTAGTAGAGTCAGATTCATTCTCGACTCGCAAGGGAGAGTTTCGGGTTTGAATTCTGGACAGCGACAGAAATGGTTTGGAACATTTCCTATCACCAAATGCCCCTGTCCACCTAGCAGTAAATAGATGCCCAGAATTAGTAGTCTTGTTGTGTGGTTGCATCCTGGGAAGGGTCAATAATTCGACCTTGTGGGAGGGGGACCTCAATATAAGCCTAACATGTACGTATAAACTGGCTGCCTGTCGCCCAAGACAATGTATTAAACTTCGTTGAACTCTCTTGAGTATGGAATAACCCAAATTTATTAGAAATAGGTCTATAGAGCACTACACTACTTCAATACAAGTTTCAAAATTTGTATGAAGACACTAGTAATTGACAAAGAAAATGTTGTGATAATTTTTGTTAGCCTGTAAATAATGCAGAGACCCACAGTCTTATATCCAGTTTTATAATCTTTAGGGATAGGCAGCCCCTAGATTATAAAGTCCTTTGATGAAGTAAAGGGCTCGTCAAATTATCCAATTATACCTTATAAGGCGCTGCATTTCCTGAGATGAGTTGGTCTCCAATAAAGTACAAAACTACAGATGATGTAGCATGAGATGAGATCATATTGTATGCCTTAATATAAATAAGGAAAATAAATACTTGTATATTACCTATTCAGGGAGTAATATCCATTGAATATAGCACTACGATTTTCGTCGGACACTGCGATAAAACACTTATTTTTACAGTTACAGTCTGGGCCTATAGCGCGAGGCCCCACCAACTCCCCCTTAGTGTTCACGTACGCCTGTCCGGATAATATTGCACGTTTCCTCTTTTCCTTTTTCCAGTTTTCTGGGTTCCTTGTTCTCTTTTTCTTTTCCTTTGGTAGGTCTTGTATTACAGCATTCTGAGCAGGAGGTACAAAAGTAGGCTGAGGTACCATAGAATGGTAGAAGCTGGAAGCCATGTTGATATTTACAAACACCTGCTTAGCGTCCGAACACTCAACTCGCCAACCATATATATTACTAAAAAATTAAATAAAGTATTCCAAGCCATTATTATTCCCATTACTATTACATTGTTAATTGTGTAAAAATATAACAAAAATTAACGTTTGCTCCACACAAATGGTCGTTTGCCACTTGGAGCACGCTGGTCAAGTCGTTTGAGCGTCATCGAACAATACAGAAGGTCCGCCCAACTTGTGACGTCAGTAAAGGCATGAAGCGTGATTGGTTGGAGAGCTGCGTTCTAGAAAGTCCTTTGTTAGGGGCTGTAGGTCAATACTGGTGTTTCCCTGCTTCCCTCAAACCCCGCTCGCACTCTCTCTTAAACCAAAAAGGACATATGTTACTTGGGATATAAACACAACCACGTGTTCCCTCTGACGATCGACAATGCAACGTTTGAGTTTGTAATGTCTCGTGGCTCAAACGTTATTCACCCATGTAGCATTTTCAAATACGCTTTAAAAATAAAGATGCTTATACAGTTCGGGTTTACATTGCTAGAATATTGCAGTGCGTTATTGTAAAAGTATTAAAACTGAAAATAAAAAACTTTTATGCTCTGATATTTTATTACGAAATTATAAACAAATATTTATGGCATACATACTCCTGTCCTAAACTTAATTTCTCATTTTTATATTAAACACCAAAACAGCATATTATACACTTCCATGTTAAAAGAACTCATTTACAAATCATGAGTTAATAAGAGAAATAGTATGGGCCTATATATACATAACTGTCATGTGATTTATTTAATTTTTTTACATGAAATTCACTCATTAGTAATGGGAAACCAACCAACCCCTTTATTATTCCTATAATTTAGGAAGCTAAATATAATTTGAAATGTTAGTTCCGACTATCTAATACAGTAAATATATTTGACTGGGAATATTATATATGTACAGGTACAGTCACCATACAAGCTGAGGCTGGCAATGTTGCATGAGCTAGCAATGGTAATTTATAAAATTTAGCAATGCAACATTTTAATGTTGCATCCTTTGTACACCAACATGCTAGAGCCAGGTTATATTTATTCAGCTTGAACACTTAAAACACATTCCGACAAAAACAAGAGTGCATATATATGCCTGCTGCTTTTGTGCCAGAAACAATTATTAGTACAGTAATTCTAATTTATGATTAATTTTTAATGTAATTAAACTGGAAATAATGCCCCCTTATTTACCACATGTGAATAAATATATGGGAGAGGAGCAGATCTGAGCACCAAACCCAACATAGATATCGACTTTGGGGATTAAACTTTAATTATGAAATTACATCCATTTTGGCCACTCAATAACTTGAGCTTGAATGCATTTTATAGTAGAATAATTATCACAAATAAATACAGGTACAGTACTGTATTCAGTAGGCCTACAACAAAATAATATACAAAAGTTACCTTTTGAAATACTTATATTAGGCATTATATACAGTAGATTGGATTGCTACCAGATACCTTGGTGGTGTTCCAGTGAAACCTTATGTCCATTGAACACCAGTTCAATGGACTGGTGTTTAATTTCCATTATTTTCCTTCCATTATTTATGTATATGTTTGTCATACATACTAGCCAGAACCACACTACTGTCTAGTATTCTTTATACTGTCTAGTATGCAAGAATACTAGCAAGTCTAGTATTCTTGCTGCACAATATAGCTAGAATTACCATCCATTTCCTACAAAAAAAGTGTAGTTATTTAACTGGTAAATTAATAGGTGTGTTAAATTTATTGACTAAGACAATTTTGTTTAAATTTGAACTAAATCTAATTTCGGTGTACTGTAGTTTTGCATGTGATAGCCAAGTTAGAAATTCATGTAGTCAACAATGTTAACTAAAGGCAAACTAATTTTAAAATTAACATTTTTTTTTTCAAGAGTCCATGCTTATTAAGCCTAGCAGTGCAATTTTGGATACATACTTGGTATACCCACATGCTGTATACTCTCATTCAAACAAAGCCAATTTATACAGAATTCAAGTTAGACTGGAAGCTCCTTCTCCTGTTACAAAAATAACGCAACAATAATGGCACCAGACATTTTTATTTATTCTACAAAATAAATCTAAATACAGTATTATAAATAAAAATATTACACCCATCTAAAAAAAATTATATAAAATTGTTTAAATTTAATAGTGTATATTTTTCAGGAATACAGTACAATACTTATTGTATGGATACATTATGCATGCCCTCCTGCAATGCCCCATGTTTCTTTTTTCTTATTGTTAACCTTTTTTTCTAATACTGAAGTTAATTGAACTGTCATTGAATATAAAAGATGTCTACCACTAGCATTAGTCAGGCTGAAGGAGGTAAATAAAGAATTATATAAAAAATAAAAATATATAATTGCACAAGTTAATTATGATAACTGATCCTACTAACGAGAAAAGCCAGTCTATGGCCAATGGCAGAATACCCTTGAAAATCCCATGATGATGTTCAGCCAAGAAAACTTTTAACTGGGTTAAAGTTTTAATGAGATAACAGTAACATTAAAAAGTGCCTGGAAGAAGTGTCTTATACTATCCAACATGGGTATAGGTGAAGCCATTGACTATGAGAGGTCCAATGTAGAAATCTACAAGGTGCTCAAAGAGGGTGGTGAGGATATTAACTTGGAAAATGTAAGAGACTGGTAGGAGTGTGATGCCAATGATTAAGGTTATGGGTTAACAACAGTGGTAGAGACAATAGTGTACTGTTTCTGGCTATGTGGAGTGTAAATTGTTAATCTCGCCTGTTTGCACTCTAGGGAATGCAGATTTAACTTTTTAGGCAGTCCCAATAATTTAGAAGTTTTATTGAGTGGATTCTAGTGGTGCGAGATTTGCAAGCTCTCAGTGTCAGCAATTTCTCCAGCTTTGAATGGGGCTATTAGTGTGCAACAATATTCAACTTTAAGAGAGCACTAATGTTGTAAAAAAGTGTCATTGGTGTGGCAGTGGAAGGTTCTTGTCATCCAACCTGTCATTTTTCTTGCAGTTGTGATAGTAACTTTGTTGTGTTTTTAAAATTAAGGTCTTTTGACATGATTACTCCTTAATCTTTTATATTGCATTTTATTTCAATGGTGTGGTTTGACTTTTATATTAGTGTATTTCTCTAACTTAATTACAAACCTTATTTTGGCATACTGTATTTATGTATTTAATATCGATAAAATTTTACTTACTATATCAACATTTGAATTACTGTACACTATCATGATACTGCAAATAATTTTTCAGGATGTTACAGCAAGAAAATGCTTTGCCTGATTGGATACTCCAAGCTATGCTTAATATGTGAAGGTGGATGGTTCTGCACAAATAGCACGACAAATACATATATCTTAGATGTTCACCATCTTTCAGTAGCTCTTAAGCTAGAGTAGTACAACAGCTTACTGTAATCATTGTTAGAAAACCGCTTAACCTTTCTCTCAATGATTTGAGAAGGGAGGCTTGTTTGTACTATAAGTAGGAAAGGTGACTGTGTGAACACCGAGGCCCCTCCGGGGGGGGGGGACTCAGCATTCACACAGCAACACAAATTGCTGTATCAGTGTTTTTGTCCTTTTCAGTGACATCTGACAGCCTGGTGAAGGAAATCCTACTGGATTACCTAGATCAACAGGCAGGGGTACATGATCTCAGTTTTAGACAAAGCACCTCCAAATGGGTCTCTCATAGGTCCAGCAGTCCAACCACCACCATCTAAAGCCCACAAGCACTCCAGCTGGGATGGTTCCATTGTACACCAAGCCATTGCACCATTATTAGGAGCAGCAGCAACACCACATGACACTGCTTCCCTTAGAGCCACATATATCCACAGCAGCTCATGACTTCCTGTTAGAAACCCAAATGTCAGCAACTGGCAAACGGGTTTTCATATTACAAACCCTCCAAATTACTGTGGCTCTCCACCTCGCTGCCTCAATCCACATTGAATGTGTGTGTGTTTGTGGCAAGGCAGTGGTCAACGGGTACTGCCAGCATGGTCTACTCTGCCAAAGCCCAGGAGGATGACATGCAAGAAACAGTGAAGTCAATGACATTACCAAGCGGTGCCTTACCAGCAGAAAACACCCCATCACCTAAAGCCACTTAATTCAAGCCTGTTGGTCACCTAGATGGGATCACAGTGAACCCCTGAAAAAATTAAGAATGTGGGACTACACGTGCGTTTCAACCCTGCCTAACACCTACGTTGATTTCAGTATTTTACAGCCGGGTGGTACTGCCACCCACAGGGAAGCAGCTATGTCCCCTAAATTACAAAGATTTGGATCACCACTAAAATTTTGTCCCCATTACCTTGGAGACATTTGGTGCCTGGGGTAAAAGTGCCACTAGTTTTTTGAAGGATCTGGGTTCTAAGCTAATTGAAACAACAAGAGAGACTAGACCCGCCAGCTTCCTCTTCCAGCATCTGAGGTGCTGGAGAAGAAAGGTGACAGCTCTCTGGTATCATGTTGCTTGTATTTTTCATCTTGGGGGTTGCAGTGAAACGAGTTGGAGAATGTACAACTTTATTTATAAAATAAATAAAGTGTAATATAATGTAAATGTGTGTAAATTATATGTGAACAATCAACAATGCAACATTAAATATAATGAAAATACAGCACAAAATATAATATTGAACAGTGAAATTTTAGTGTTCATTAACTACACACATGAAAAGAAAATGAGGAAGCATTACTTGATTTCTAACAGGTAGCAGTGTAAATGTTGTAGGTGAAGCAAGTGAACATTGCAGGTGTAAATTATCAGGAAGTCATATGAAATATTTAAATGTAGTGTACCAGTATTTACTGTATGATGAATGAAGCGTTTTTAACAGGCACATACGTAAATGAGTTAAACAAAAATAGGTAGAATTTATTAGGAAAACTAATAATCATAGATAAAAGAATCCAAACAGTAATAGTTATAGCTAACCATACTAACAAGATAGAAGGAAGATGGCAAAATGAAAAAGGTTAGGGCAAATTGCAATCCCTCTGATGGCACTGCATATTGCATCAGCACGTGAAAGAAAGGGTGGGTAAAGGTGCACATGCACCCATTCTCCGAAGGAGGGAGACTGGGTGTATGTAGGGGGGAGTGGCACAGCAGCGCACGCTTTTAAAAGGGAAGAGCCACACCATACCCACTGGAACCTCCCTAGTAATACGCCCCATCTTTGAAAACAAAAACTCCTTTGCTCCTTTTCACTCCCAAAAAATTTATTAATGTAGACAGGATTTGTATAATTTATTATACTGTGTGTGTGTATATATATATATATATACACAAATATAAAATAAATTGAGGTAGGGTCCCTTAGCATGTTTTATATTGTAAATACAGTAGCTTGTATGTTAAGAGTAACTAATAAAATAAAACTTATTTGTCAAGGAATACTTTAGATTAATTATTCTACCAATATTATAGCCAATTTAGACATTAAGATCAAAGATTACCATAAACACTAACTGCATACACCTGTTTTAATGAAATGAGAAAAGTCAAATTTAAATAAATTTACATCAAACAAAAGACATGGCTTGTCTTCATAGATTACTTATCACGCATAAACCTGTATCTGCAAGGTTATTTATTCATGTAAGAATGCCAATAATTGGCAGGCATGTAACAATATCACATACCTGAAGATCTGTTATCATACAGTGACAAAGGTAGATTTTGTTTGTTAAGCAACTATATACAGTACTGTATATTTGATATATGTATTGTTATTGTATTAGCAGAGTCAAAGCATTTACAGATTATAAATGACATACAACAGGTATGTTTGAAATTAAGTCTCGCTTGAAATTTATCCATGAGTATGTTGAGGGTTTTCATAAATACTGAGCTACCAAATGAAGCAACCAAATTAAGTATACAAATACTGTAAAACTAAAAAAAAAAAAGATTAACAAAGGAAAGTAAACAGGCATCAGAGTCTAATGAAACTTGCACAAGTAACCATTTGGTACAAAGATCGTGGATGTCTTAATCCTACAACACTGCCAAAATTGAAGTTCAATTATCCTGAGATCATATGGAGTAAAAGCAAAATTTATACTACTATTTTCCAGACTCTGCTACAATAACATGCACATACATCTCTCAATCTAGTTGAATTCTGAAACTCCATACTCCAAGTACACCCATCCTGCTCAAGTTTGAAAAATGATATATTTAAATCAGTATTTAAAAAAACATTTGTAAAATTTAATATTTCACTGTATTGTTCACATTGACAATGCTGCTCTCTCCAATCTTCAGCAATGTCCTATAATAAGTATTAGTACAATACACACACGAAATCCAAATGCACTACTCGATTTTCTTAACCCAGGAATGAACTGAATTCAGCCAACATCCTGATATAGTCTTAAAACAACCATCATTTTACAGTAATGCCCCGCTGACTGGCTCATCAAATATGGCATGAGGTATTGGTTTAATAAGCACTGGGAAGAATTACTATCAAATACTTTGTAAAGTACAATATAATAAAATATATATATTTATATATGTATATTTATATACAAGTACAAAATGTAAAGCATAAAAATTTAAACTGGATTTATTCTGGGAGTACGTCTAGTCAAGAGGCATGCTCAAAATACTATCTCATACAGCAAACCACTAATTATGCAATAATCCACAAAAAGTCATCCGTTATTTACATTGCTGATTAAAGTAGTTTTCGTGGTTTTAAGGAGTATTAAGTAGGAAAATGAATTGAATTTAGAGTAAAAAGGCTGGCAGTATTAAAATAGGTTTGAAAAGCACCCTCATAACTCTAGCACACCCCCATGTAAAGTTCCATTACAGTAATGTTTATTTCTTTATCATATTTACCTGCTAGACTCATTGTCCCATTGCTCAAAAGTCATGTGCATACTTACACAACACAACATAAAGAGTAAGAATGAATAATATGGTGTATAACACAAATAAAAGTAAAATACAGTTAACATCATCCACTTTTATACAAAAATATCTATTCACTTTTAATTTACATAAAATATTAAAGGAATCTGTAAGAACAAATGTATGGTTCTTCCCATTGGATATCTAGAAAATAGTACATCATCACAACCAAGAAAACCTTTAATGGGAAATTTGCACAGAACTTTAAAACATATCTTCAAAGAAAAAAAATTGAAAAAAATACTTAAAAAGAGTATCATCACTAGTTTAATAAAAAAAAATGACTTTGAAATGAGCTGCACCATTTGTTTGGAATACACTGTAATCCTACCTTATGGCTATACTGCGAGTCACTAATGGTAGCTGTATACTGTACCTCAAGGTAAAGAGAGTTCAATAATAACCCATCTCTACAGGAACATTTATCATATAGGATAAATTTATTTCATTAACTGCTTGTTGCTTTGTTAATGGAGTGAACTATAAGCTGGTGAATGAGATAATTAGTGAACCTCAACCCAAAAATATACATGTTAATTGAACTTGTGACCAATTTGATCCTCAAAGTAACCTATTTCTATACAGTAAATCTAATAAGCCATTTCCCCCTCACATTAAAGTGGGATGGCTAATGGAATATCACTTTAAAGAGAGAGAGTAATAGTCAGTTTTATCTTATTTAAGCATGGAAGATGCAGCTTCAATGCTCCATGATTTACCTATATAATTATGAATTTTGATTTGGCAAATAAAAGTACTGAAACTTCCTTTTATATGCTCTACAAAACTAGAATTTAAAGAGCAAGAAATCCATTCAAATAATTAAGGTCAGATACATACTAAGAAAAATTTAGAAGTTAGAAGTAAAGTTCTTAAATTCTGCAAGGGGTGCAATGTTCTGGAGGCCATGTAACTGAAACATTCTCATTAACAATATTGTGGTTCAACATTGAGAATTAAGAGAAAGTAACATTTAAAGTCTCTGCTTCTGTCATAGTCCTCTTTCTTGGACAGTCAATTCACACAAATTTTGTGCATTTTATTATATGTGTAAAATTAACTTTTAAACTAATTTTGATCTACAGAACAGTACCAAAGGCAAATATATACACTATACAGTATTTCTGAAAAATTGGAAACCAGGAAATTAAGCAAATATTTTGAATGAATAGTGCAGGAGATAGGATCCAATCAACCATTAAATATCCATGGACTAGTGCAGTCACTTTAATTAATGTTATAAAAACTTTGACGCATTTGAAAAATGAGAACTGTAATCGGAAAGATTTTTTTTTTTTTTACATTCTAGGAATGTAAATACCTGGTAATAATATAAATGTATTTATTCACAACATATACATCACTTCATTTAATAATGTAGTGCATGAAGATACCTCTCCTCCACATTTCACAAGCTACACTGCACCATCTTCCGAGTGTCATATTTGACACCCAACGTTCAGAACTGTGGGAGCCTGCAGTCTTTGCCTGGTTATCACACACAAGTCTTTATCAATTTAATACAAGAACATACAATAGGGCAAGAGTTCTTTAGCAGGTAAACCATGCATTAAGTAATCAAGCATTTTAAATATTACTGTAATTTGAAATTTGTTCTTTATTTGCAGTACTTTTGTGTGTTGGCCATAATAGTGACAGGAAGCTTATGGCTATTGCAAGGTTCCTATAATCCTCCAATGAGTTACTCCTAGCAAATTTTCAATAGTAGCAGTGTCCTAGCATACCTGGAGAGGGTTTCGGGAGTTCTTCTACTACCCGAGCCCGGCTTGGGGCCAGCATTTCCCCAGGCTCGTATCTATGCCAAAGCACCGTCATAGGGTTGGTGTTAAGTAATTCTCAGGCAGAGTTTGCATGTCTAGGAGATCACAAATTGAGCAATTCTACAATATTTGATAATTGAGTTACTGTACCTCCTCACTGATGACCTATCAGAAGAGGATGCAAATGATAGACACACAACACAGATGAGCAAGAAGTAAAGGAGAGCTATATCAAGCAAACCTAACCTAAACACACTCAAGCTGGTCTGCCTAGATTTTCCTAGTAGAATTACACACAAATTTTGATTATCTAAAAAAAAAAAAACTGAAATACTATCAGGAATGTGAGGGGGTGGCAAGGAAAGGATAAAACCTTTTCACTACGCAGGTCAGAGCTTGGCATAACGTAACAATCAAGATTTTCCATGGATGCAATGTTGGCACAATACATGGCAAAACTTTACGAACACTCACAGAGAAAGACTTTTGTAAACTTACCGGTCTTGTAGTAAAAGATTGAGAAACAGTGCATGCCAGGTTCAGAACGCGTGTACTGATTAAAATGGGATACAAGCGTGAATAGGGACACTGAAGGATCCCTGCGAAGTATTGAAGATAATGCCCATCGCAGCAGTCTGCCCTTCTCAATAGCTGTTTACCTGCTAGTGATTCAATTAGTACCCTGAAATATTAATCAATGTCTTTCCAACACAGTAACATTATCACCATGAACAATGTGTTATCACACACATTGTGGCCTTAATCGAGGCTGTTATAGTTCTTTCTGTAAATGAGAAAAGAGTAAAGCATTACACTTACACAATTATCGTTATGCATTTTACTTTAATGTTTTTTATTAACTTTCAATGCCGAGAACTCGTACCCATTACTTACTATTAACCAGTCTAAAGTAATTATCAACAGAAAGCACTAAGTCAGTATAACTACATAGCAGTGTCCAATTAACAAAAATACAGTACGTGAAAGTAATAATGCATGAAGGACCTAGAAACATAACTCCACATATAACTGGAGGTTTTACTATATATTTGATGACAGCAGCATGCAAATGAAGTTTAATGATAAGAACACTTCATTTGTTGCTACAAGTAGTAACATTTCAAGTGTTATTCACTGCAGACTCGTCTACATTAAATTATGTCAGATTACATACAGCAAGTAATTTGTGTTAAATTAACACAATTAAATAAATATGCAGTACCTGTATCACCAGTTATTAGTGAAAAAATTACAGTATAAATGTAACAATTGGAATTTTTATGTCTATTTAAAATATTTAATTTAATGGCTGTTGTTGTCATGTCAGATAATACTTTTGCTTAATATAAGTAGAATACAGTACAGTACTGTACTATAAGAATAATATGAAAAAACACTGATACATCCCAACAATATTGTTCTGTAATATAGAACTTGCACTGCTGAAATTTTATCAAAGCCCAATAAGTATACAAAACAGATTTTACTAAAAATAGTTATTATGGCCAAAATCTAAAGTTACTTATTTAATGCCTAATTTATGACATTTTAAATGTTAAGAATTTATAATTTTTAATTTAGTTCATTATACATGTGCAGCATTTATTGGCACATCTGTCACCAATCCTAAATATAAATAACTGCAGCACAATTGCAACCTTGAGGTTTTGACACTTCTGACATTAGACACCGTTCCCGTACCTGCCTAAATTAGGAAAAACACACCATACTTGAACTCTCCTTTAATACTATAGTAATTCACCTCAAACCCATTGAGATGTGACTACTTTCATGTGAACAAAAAAAAAAATCAGAAAATATTTAAGAACAACCCCCCCCTAGTTAAAATGCTGGATATAGATGGGAAGCTACACAAAAATTTACAATTTCCACAATTATTGCTAAAAATCTGTACTGTGACGGTGTACGAGAACGATATACAGCATGTCCATCTAGCATCACTATCAACTCATTAAAGATGCATTAGAAGCCAGGGGCCAGGCATATGTTCTAAAGAGCTATCACAAAATCTGCTTGAGATTACTATTGGTATGATCAGCCACAAGACACTTGCAGCTGCCAGCACAAACTTGTAAGCATTGTACATACAATCAATACAAAAATATAAACCACCACATAGCACTCATGACAAGCAACACATCAATTTTATCTGAAAGTGTTTCGCTTTCCTATTCTTCGGGAAACTAAAATCATAAGACACGAGTCCAACTTTTATAAGTGTTAAATAAACCTCTGCGTCCATACCTATCTGGAGTATCCCTTTGTACCTAAACTATTAGTACTATTTACAATACTGTAGAATAGGATTTGATTAATTTTTCTATACGACACATAGAACCTGAGAGCAATTTCTTTATGCAAGTCCACTATCACATACAGAATCAAAGTACTGTACCACAAAATATGCAGCTCCGTGAAATAATATAAAATAAAACAATAATGTAATAAAACAAATCCATCGTGTGTTATGATGACTGTAAAAATCCATTATAACACTTATCTCAAGACTTGGCAAAAACCTTTCCATTCTGAGCATGGAATTGAATCAAAGCTGCCATTATTTTTAAAATATATGAAATTTAATTTATTGTGAATGCTTAAATGATATTTACATAGATTAATAGTACTGTATACAATACCATACAAAAAATATTGTATGAGGAATATAAATGTGATATGCATCTTTTTCATATGAAATATTAAAATGAATATCAGTGTACCATTTGTTTTATTTAAAAAACCGAAGCAAACAATTGCACTTCAGTCTCGAATGTTTTTTCTGACAAAGTTACTTAATGATATTTATTTCTTGCTGCTTCATGGCCCTTCCCAATGTAATCCTTTGCCTAGTCCAGGGTAAAACAAAATTAGATGAACATAACACATTTGTTCAAGTACAGTAATGTGTCGAGCCTGGGATATTTCATGAAGGTAATTTATATGCTCAGATCTGTTATAACCTCTATTGATTGTAGAGTACACACTGGGGCCCATATTCATTCAGCTATTTTCCTTCAATTAGCTTGCATACATACATAAAACATATGTAAACATTTTGAAATTTTCTCTGCGATACTGGCTGACAATACTGCCGAGTCCTTGAGTACTACTGGATGTAACTTCAGAACTACTGGATGTATCATATGATCCACAAGTTTGTAGGTCAAAGCCCATGCACCTGGGTTCAGGGAAGCCTGAACTAGTGACTCAAAATTGTTTAAATACTACAATATGAATGATCTGATGACAATTTGGAAGATAATTTCTATGCATAAATATGAAGTACAGTAATATATCTACTGATGAGGAATTCCGGTACTAGAATAAAGGGCAACTGTTGATCCAGCCTTTACATATACAGGTATATTTTATTTTAAACTAACCGCCGCATGGTTCTTCAAAATGTGTGCTTCTGATTTATCATTTGTATAAATATGGCAAAAATATACTTCTATGCACATAACTTAATTCTGAGGAACAGCAATTTAAAAGACATTGCTCAAAACAACATTTAGCTCTTATCAGTCTTGAGCACACAAAGAAACCAAATATTTACACACAACACAGAATGATGCAAATAAAAAAAAATCTCGCAAAACATTGCAACCCCAACACTTAACACTGTATTTTTACCATAGTTGATGCAAGTGAACTATGATTAAAGCACAACAACTTGTATAAAACATCTGAAGCATAAGGTTCATGAACCAGCTTCAAAATCACCAAGGGATTGTAAACAATTTAAAAAGAGAGAGACTCAAACAATAAAGATTCTGCATAGCATGATATAATCACATTTATGGAATTCAATTTTCAAACAAAGACTTCCAGCCCAAGAGGCTACACATGTAGAGAGGAAGGAAGTAATGGGATTCATCACAGACATTTGGACAAGTGGTATCAGTTTCCAAAGCAGAAGTTCACCTTGAACACTGCACTCTAGTCTTGTTACAAGAATAATAAGTAGACTTTCAAAGGTCCCGTTCTGAGGAAGCCCATGCAAACTTTTTGGTTTTAACTAAACAAATATTTTCACTGCTAAAGTATGGAAGAAAAATAAATGTACAGTATTCACAAGTTTCTTGAATTGGCCACTTTGAATAATGAACAAATACAACTTATCTGTTCAAAATTGGTGTACTGGTTGGAAAGGAAGATCCAGATAACCATAAGAAAAAAATTATCTTAGTTTTTGTACAGTCTGTTTACGAGTCTGTTTATGAGATGAAAAAGTATAAAATTCAGCCCAATAAGGCTTACAGTGTTTCGTAATGTCCTATTTTAATAATATAATTACAGAGGACGAACCAGTGTTTAGGAGTTTTGTGATGGCATTTGCCACTCCCATTTGCTTATTTGCATCTAATGCCAAATCTGCAATAAGCCAACGAGAGATTCCATCAGCTCGGCCCCGTAGTCCCTAAGATAATTTTTATTTGTATTCATGTGCATGGCCACTTACCTTATCTGTACCAGACACATCACACACACATACACAGAAAACAGTTGCAATTGATAAACTGCAACTACTTTATATATCACTATCTTACAATATTGTATACTAACAAGTGCCTGAAGATAAAACTTTGATAAATATAAATTTTAACTACATTGGCATATAAGTCTGTTGGGCTGTGGCTCCACCTTTCTGGTTTGTTAGTTGCTGGCTACCAGATAGTCCCGAGTTGTTTTTATCTAATATCAATTGTGTTGGGGAAACATGAACACTGGGTGAATAGCTATTCGGTAAAGCATTATGGGGAGGGTTGACCATAAGGACATGTTGCACTGCTTTTGGTGCATAATGACTTTGTAATGTACCTGACGAGGAACTGGTAGTAATGATCTGTTGTGACGTGGAAGTCGGGTTAGATGTTGTAACATTATGTGAGGTAGGTTGAGATGATGTGGAAAGTGGGCTTTGTGACATCACTGAAGTAGTCTGAACAGGGGAAACCCTTTGATGGTCTGATGTATCTGAAGAAAGGGAAGAATTTGTGCATTGATTTTGGTATAATGGTTGTGATAAAGCATTACATGCATGATTAGAAGTGGTAGGTGGAAGAGAAGTTGTCACATGTGGAAAGTTTTGTGAAGACAGCTGTGGTAAAGAATTAGCTGGGTAGCAGTGCTGTGGTTGTGAAGCTAACGAAGAAGGAAAGTCTACTTGTCGTGTTGTAGCCAACGAGTTATTTGGTGCCACGGGAGATGCCACAGACCAGGTATACTGATAGGAGCCAGATATAGCTGGCATTCGTGTGTATGGACAATATTGGTTTCGGTGTTGTGCTGGCACAGGGGACGGGTAGTGGGTGGGGCTGGGGGCCGCCTTGCCTCACTGGTACATAGTGTGTTGGTTAAACCCCCCTGGAATCCCCTGTTGCTGTTGCAACATATTCTGCTGGAACTGTTGTTGGTGGTTATGTTGCGGCGTAGACATTGGAAGAGGCAACATTGGTCCCAGCGAGACATAATAGGGATTGTGTAAATTAAGTGGCAACGGAGGTGCAGCACTCGGTGGGGCTGCAGCTCCTGGAGCTTGGTGAGGGGGTGCTTGCATAGTTGGCTGACCTTGATGAGAGGTTTGTAAATTAAGGGGCTGTTGTTGTGCAGGTGGTGGTTGCTGTTGTTGTCCTAAGCCAAACAACAAGTTAGGTTGTACCTGCTGAGTCATATAAGTAGCTAGAGAATTGTGAAGTGTTGAAGTTGCACCCATAGCTGCCATAGAGGACACTGGTGCAGATGATGTTTCCACACCCAGATTCATCAAGTTGGGCTGCAAAAGGAATTATTGAAAATGGAATACAACTTAAAAGTACCGTAAAATTATATTTATTTTAAATTCATCATAAAATAATATTTGTAATAATTTAAGATTATGTAACTTTAGTTCATCTGTATGAAGTGAATCTTTGACACCTTGCTCACTTTTAAAACCCAGCTAGCTTTGAGGAGATAATCTCGTACGTTTATTTTCACATACATCAATTATATAGGCACATGAAGAAACACTGAAAACATTTAGTTAGTATATTGTATACAAGTGTGTGAATAGGCTACCACTGGGTTTCAAGGATTAAGTCTTTAAATACTGTACATATATAAATTTAAAGCAAGAAAGAAAGGAAATACATGACACCACTATATGGTCTGCAGTGAAAGTAAAGACCTATTCACAGGAAAGAATTTATCCCATTATTTCCCTAAAAGCCATATTTAGACACGTACTTGCAGCCAACCATTCTAGTATAGTATCTTGACATATTCACATTCCTGCAGTTTGTGACCTACGTATGAATACTGTATTTGTACAAAAATGTAATTTAATGTTAGTCTCTCAAATCCATAAATCTCAAGTATGCAATAACAATTAATCCACACCTTTTGATATAGCAAAAATAATAAAGACGTGGAAAGGTGAATACAGTACTGTACTTGCCTCCATGCATTCATAATTTGGGTGTGGAAAATAAATCTGCATATCTTTGAATTCATGTGCACAGAACTTGCCTTTATCAGGGAAGGATGGAACTGTACTGGTACTGTAAAATTAACTAGTGTATTTTGAGTGCAGTACAGTACTACATACTCATTAAAAACTAGAGAGTTCTGCACTGTACATTACAGAAAAGAAATACAAGTACAGTACATGTATCAGGGTCTCTTAATCTTAAAACAGAGCAGGATCAGCTAATTGTTTTGAAGGCAAAGGTTCTGCATTCCTGGCAGGAAAGGACAACTTGACTGTCTCTGCTGTTGAAATGGATGGGACAATCCCCAGTCAGCCGAGCTACATTCACAGCTAAACCCTGACCTGACTGAAATTTCCTCCACAAGACAGAGTTCAAAGGATAGCCAGCACTTGCTCATCTTGGAGAATTGGGACTTGCTATGACAAGGCAACTAGGGTGGGTTAGATGTGGAATGCCTTCCATCAATAACAGGACTGAAGTGATCACTGTCCTTGAAGCAAGAAGCTCTGAGATGCCACCTGCTGGCAGCTCAGCAGCGTAAGGGGAAAGGGGACTTGTTTCATACCCAGTTTAAAGTGAGCCATTTTATTTTGAGTGATTGTTTTGCGGTGCCTGTTGGCTGTTTCGGTGCTTCATTTTTATGAACCATGCAGTTGTCTCGTCTACTTTCTAGGTGCTTTCCCAGTGAGGGCGATCATAGCAATCCCCCTGCCCCCTGTGCCTCTTTGAGGAAGCCAATCATAGGCCAAAAGGATGCCTATGACTGATGTTACTTAGTAATGAAAGCTTACTCAGTGACAGCTTCAGGGAGCCAAGATGATGCAGTAAACCATAACTCTTAATGGAAGAAACTAATCCTCACACAACTTCCTATTATTATTATAGTCAAGTATTTTCATTATATTGTAATGGTGCCTAGTACTAATGCCAAGTAGTCTCTTGGCTGAACCTCAAAATCACCGAGATAATTATGCATAGTCTTACCTTTTAAGTTAATTCAAGCAAGACAAGCAAACACATTCCCGTTAAAATTGTGAAAGAAAAGGTATGCATCTATTTATAGGACTTACTTGGTAGCCACCCGGTGCAGTACTGACTGGTGGATGTGTGGTGGTGGTAACAATTGTTCCAGGGGGAGGCATAGCTGTTCGACTCATATCAGTGGGTCCACCATTACTTGCACTGTGGTTGTTCATGCTATAATCCTGTGGTATAACCTGGCAAAAGATACCAGTCACAAATAACGAGGAGCTGCAAGTAACTTTGAAGCTCATTTGCAAGTGTGCTTTTGTACAATATAATGTCCCACACAATATGCTAATTATTTTTACAGAATCACATTCAAGCACCACATCATATCATCTAGTCCAGTCGACAGGAGGAAAAAATGCCAAATAAGGAAAAAATCATGGAAAGCTGCAATAAGTTCTATCGTCTTCATAATAGGGTACTAAATAACACGTCAATTTTGCACCCCTCTACCGCCCTAGATTTGACGACCATCTTCAAAAAATAGCAGCCAAAAACAGTTTTGTATATATCTTGCTCAGGACTCACTTTCAAGAAAAATGTATCACTATACAGTATAAAATATTTTAAAATATTCTAAAATAAATAAATAAAAATATATATATAATATTAGTTCGGGGTCTTGAAGTGGGTAGAATATAGTTGTGTTAAACACCTAAGTATTCTACCCACTTCAAGACCCTGAACCAACGCATAGTCCAGCTCAACAAGAAGTTCCAGGAGGTTTCAAACCAAAACCAGATTGGTATCCATGTAGGGGTGACAACAAGCAACCAGAAACAACACCAGACAGAATTAAAGTTAATATAGAGTAGGTTAAAAAGATACCTGTAGGATCTGGACGTAACATAAGCAGTAGAACCAGACTAAATATCACTGTAGGTACTGAAGGAAGCTGCAGGGATCTTGAATTACCCATTAACTATAATTATAATGTTCAACATTACACCTTATTTTTTTTTCAAGAAATCTGGAAAAAGGCAAATATTGTTCCAATATTCTAGAGAGGGAACAGATATGAAGTACTATAGACCAGTGTCATGAACATGCATTCCATGCAAGTCTAGAAGAAGTCATCAGAAAAAAAGGATTGTAGAACATTTGGGGAGAATAAATTTTATAACAGATGCATAACATGGCTTCAGAGAGGATAAATCATGCTTAACTCGACTAAATTCTATGACAGGATTACAAGACAAAAGAGAACAAAGGATGGGTAGACTGCATCTTCCTAGACTGCTAAAAAGTTTTTGATACAGTTCCTCTTATGACTAAAAGTTTTTTAAAAACCAGAAGTTTAAAATAAATATGATGAAAACATTGAGAGGGTAATTAGCATGCCAGGTATGAACAGCTAGAAAGTGTGGCATAAAGAGCTAAATCTCGCTCCTATCTCGTCATTGATAGGTGAGCATTTTTACTCTTGCTCTCACACACCCTCACTCTGACATACTCTCATACTCTTTGATGCACACACACACTCATACTCTCACTCACTTTCACATGCATTTTCACTCACTCTTGCTTGCTCACTCACTTTCACATGCATTCACTATATCGCTCACTCACTCATACTTTCACTCACTCTCACTTGCTCGCTCACATGTACGTGCGCACACACACACACACACACTTTCTCTCACTCTTACTTTATTCTAAGGAATAAATGTGTAGATTATCAACATGCAGACAAATAAAAATCATGTAACTAATCTTGTCCTCCCAACTTTCTGAACACAACTATTCTACTCATCTGTGCTCCTTTATTCATGACTGCACCCTGCACAGGCTCTACCCAATCTATCTGCGGCTTCCTCAATACCAGTACTGTAGTTTCCTCTCCCCATCTTCTCCATGCTAATGAAGAACATCCAAGGCATGAAAGCAACAATAAAAATTTCTGCAGACTGACCTGATGTTGAGGGGGAGGAGCCGGAGGTTTGGGTTTAGGGGCTTTCTTCTTTTTCTGAATCATCACACTTTCTATACTGCGTCTCAAGTCTCCAATATGTCGTTTACATTCATTGTATTCGAAGCTCTTAAATTCATCTAAAAATATTTTTCTATACAGCCACTGTTTCACCTTAGGTTTGTATTCTCTATTTGGATCTGTAAACAAAAAACAAAACATCTTCAACAAATACAAAATATATAAATCTATTTTTTCTTTTGTTTTTACAATTTAATTTTCTCTAAGTAATGACTACAAGAGTAAGAAGAGACTCCACTGGAGGGCTGCATATAGAGAAGCTTGGGAATAGTCTGTAAACACACTGTTTCATGCTTCATTGTGCTGTAACCAAACGTGTATTTTTATCTAGTCACTTCATAGGTCATGTAGGATCACTGGCCAAAAAAGTGTAAGTCTCAACTGGAACATTTCTACCAATTTTCACACAAATTTAAAGTCAAAGATAACTTGTAACAAAATTTAAGACTAGAAAGGCAAAATCAGACTTAACACATCTTCATGTAATGAACAAATCCACAAGGGCCGTGATGAGGGTTCGAACCTACGTCCGAGATAATCCCAGATGTGCCTTAGTTGATTGCGCCACGACACGGTCACCATGTCATGGCACATGGTGCGTCTGGAATTATCTCGGACGTTGGTTCAAACCCTAATCACGGCCCTTGTGGGTTTATTCATTTGATATATCATGCTATTGTGATTTGTGTGTATTCATCATGCAATCTTGCATTTTCATATTGAGTTTGAATTACAGTGTAAGGACAGGAAATGGGACTGAATGCAACTGAGAAATGAAAAGAAAGAATAGGAATACAACACCAGGATTGCTGAATGAGCAGTGGTGCAAAGAGAAGTCATAACGTACAATATTTACCACAACCAAACTCTCCCCCATCTTCAAGATAATTTTGTAATTTGACCAAATTTGTAATTTGTTACTATATATCAACATAAATTATGTAATGTAAAAGCCACTACCACACTGTCTCGATACATCATCATGCACTTGCAATTAGGCACTCCCAGACTACTATACAGTACCTTTACCAGTACAGTACATATAAAAACCAAGGCCGAATGAAATTAAATGCCAATTTCTGAGCGAGCCTCAGTGGCTCCCTGAAGCCGAAATGGTACTATCTACTAGAGTGCATCAGCTGTGGAGCTCTATAGACCTACCAGGGACCAGATTCCTGGCCTTAACCTGGCCCCCCTCACAGACATGCAGGGAGTGGTGTCTTTTTTGCCACCTCACTGGGCAACGCAACCACAAACTCAGCGTGAGTCAAACCACAACTCGATTGAAAAAAAAGAGAGAAAGCCTCAAAACCCACCTACAGAACCCCCCCCCCCCCCCCACCCCAACAATATAAACAATCAAATTCTGTCGGAACTAGCATGAGCTTGTTCGCCCCCATCTTCCCCAATTGTAAGGGCAAAGGGTGAGTAGCTCACCACACGCCAGGTTCTGAGCTGTTAGTTCTAGGTATATGTTGACTCCCACCCAACGACATGAAAGGGAGGGAGGGAAATGAAGGAGACACCTCAATTTACTACAGTGGTCATCGATTGCTATGTACAATTTTATGTGATATTTCTTAGTGTTGGAAAATATTTATAAAACAATTATTGGACAGTCAAGAAAGCCCATCTGATCTAATTTTGCTGACTCAACTTTAGTACTGAATACAGAAACATCCATATTGGACTATTGCTTATCCATGCACATTGGACTATTTATCGTGCATCATTTGTCAATGTGAATGGAATTTATAAATAAATATGTTTGAGATAGGCTGTCTTAGTTTTGTCATTGGGCCATACTCTCAGATAAGTGATTTGCAGTTTTCTTAACAATGGACAAAGACAAAGTATTTAGCACGGGTGGAACACGAACAAAGGGACACAGGTGGAAACTGAATACCCAAATGAGCCTCAGACAAAGAATTTTTTCAGTGTCAAAGTAGTTAACAAATGGAATGCATCAGGCAGTCTGTACACCAGCTGATTGACAGTTGAGAGGCAGGACCAAAGAGCCGAAGCTCAAACTCTGCAAGCACAACAAAGCGAGTACAGTTAAAGGGTTAACAATATACATTATGTTTTCACTGATAGTCATAATAGTATGTTCTTAATATCAGCAGTGCTGTTAGTCATTCATACACTGAAGTATTTTTTTTTTTTTTTTTTTTTTGCAGGGATAGTCCTGCGCAGTACACAGTTTCACAATGAAGCAGCCTAACAAGGCGCTTGAGTGATTATAACTTTTCTTCATTTCCTTTTGTGTTGCTCTGGCCTTCAGTGGCTTTGTGCCAATTTTTACTGCACCCCATACATAATAAATAATAAAAATGCAGTGTGGCAAGTGGCAGCAGGGGAAAATAACAGCTGTGGGGGAGGGTGGGAGGGACTTGTTGCCTTTGTGCTACTCTGTTCCACATTAACAGATTAGTTATACGTAGAAACCAGCTATGACACTGTAGTGATTTAATTGTACCGAGATTTCCACTTGTAATTATTGATCTCGGATATTAAAATAAACTACACTGATAAAAACAATCACTCATAACCAAATTTAAAAAATAAAATACACCACCAACCATTCGATGGTGGTGGCTCAAATGCCTGTGGCTCATGTTCCTCCAGGTAGGATCGGTGCATCTTGGAGATATCTACATCTACTTGACCATTCTTCTCTGCTTTACAAAATACTGTATAGTCATGCATTGAAAGCAACTTTAGCATATGCTTCTTCATCTGTAATACTGTATCTTCTGGAGTTTTCTTAGACATCTGATTTTTATTCCTGCATGGAGACAAAATCTAACATTAGAATTGAAGTTAATATATTGAGTAATGACTACCAATACAATACTCCAGAAACCAATTAGTAATTTAACAATGAAACAAGATGTGACCTTTAAAGGGAATTTATATTTTTTCAATCAAAAGAAGGAATGTCTAAACCACACATCAGAAAATCAAGAAATGATGACATTTTCTTCCATCCTGGACCATAATTAAGTTGGGTAATGAAAAGAGTGGAAGAGATGAACAATATAAGAGAAGAAATTATCTCTTCCACTCTCTTTCCATTACATGACTTGATAATGATCCAAGATAGACCAAAATGGTGTAGTTTTTTCAGTTTCTGATGTGTGGTTTCGACATAATATCTTCAGACAATACTATGACTCCTTGTCTGCATTAAGAAGGAATTCTAAAACTAAAGTCCTCTTTAAATAATTACTTTATTATGCACCCCATACCCATCTTATGAGCAGTAGGGGGAAAAAGGTTACAGATACACAGAATGGGCTCAGGAAATGAACCTGAAATGTAGCATGAAATGAACCAGGAGATGCTTTTTCACACTCAAAGGGTTATAACCCCATAGAACCAGCTACCTGCCAAAGCCATAAACAGCAAAACTGTTGAATTTGAAAGTACAACTAGAAAAGATCAAGGCAAATGTGGGGGACCTTTGACAAGCCGCTGGCTTCCTGTCCTCATCGAGGCCACTAGTGTTAGTGGCCCTAGGGTAAATTCAGATAAAAATACATACATACTGGTATATTACGAGTGAACTAATTTCAAGACATTGAAAATATGCAAAATTGTCTCACCATTATGCAAAATGATCTTTGCTTACTAGGCCAAGTAGTATGGTTGTGCTTATTTAGTACAACATATATAAAAAAAAATTATAGTGTACCCTTAGGAAAAATATAAATGACTGATCATTCTACCTTCTATACCCAGCTAACCTAACCTAACCAAACTTCTATACCCAGCTAACCTAACCTAACCAAACTTCTATACCCAGCTAACCTAACCTAACCAAACTTCTATACCCAGCTAACCTAACCAAACCAGTTAACCTAAACAAACCAGTCATGGACATAGCTGAGGCAGCCAGAATTACCAGAGCACTGCAACGTGTGTTATTCTACATATATCCACAGGCAAGTCTCTCAAGAGTGTATCCAACTAGGACAATGCCACGTGTAGCATTGTGGTCTACATACTGGCCTAAAAATTAAGAGCCCCCGACAATCCCTCAGTAGGGCAGAAACAGTTGGGCACATTTCCTTTTACCTGAAGTCTCTCTTCACCTTACAGTAATTACCTAATCTACCTAACCAGGGAGTTAGGCCACTGTTGTAGGTTGCATCCAGGGGGGAGGCCAGCAGTAGGCCTAAGGGTACCTCAGTAAGCCTAAGTACAGGCTTCCCGTCTCTAACATTGGGAATTAAGTGATGGCCTCGACAGAACAATTTCTTAGATAAAGAATTCAGCGTACAGACAGCTCCTGGACTGGCCACGTTATAACAATATGCGCAACAGTAACCAAGAAAAGTGTCTTTACAGAGGTTGTTTGCTAGTAATGCTCTAGATATATTGGTTACCGTACATCCTAAGTCAATTCAAACTTTTAGTAACTGATGATTTCGTTACATTTATATATTACACTAGAGGCCAGACACTTGGCATTACATATGGAGACTTACTTAGCATCGCCATGCTTAAAACACTTCTTTTTGTTGCAGCGAGAGCACTCTTCCACCTCCACTGCCCCAGTGTCCACTCTCATGCCTGACATGTACGCCGTCTGACCGATGATTCGCGGCTTCTTCTTCTCTCCATTGAGCTTTTCCGCGGGTTTTTTACGCTTTTTGGGTTCCTTCTTGGGTTCGGGTTCGGGTGGCACCGCAGGCATGGGCTGTGGTTGCGGCTGGTGGAAGTGGTAAGGCGCGGGCACCACCATTTGCTGGTACATACCACTCGCCATGTTCGCCATCTTTAATGTTTTGACTGGTGAGTGACGTCACGGGCGAGCCACGTATGGGAACACCCGCCAAGTTTGAATGTCAAGATCGCCGCCCACCGCCACCCACTGACACCCACTGACACCCACTACCACCCCACTGCCACCCACTGCCACCTACCACCGCCCGCTGCCACCCACTACCGCCCACTGCCACCAGCCACCTTCTCTCACTCAAAAAATACTCGTTTTTTTTGTAATCTTGCCTTCTTCGATTTATTCGACACGTTTGGTGCTGGTGGAGGTTAATTAGTGTTCATTTCTGTATATTTGCATGTATTGTAAAAATTATATACCTTTGTCGCAACCAGTTAAATCTGCGTGAACGTGTGTACTTTGCTGAAAATGTACGTTGCATGTGCTCAGCAACTAATTTATGAAGAACCTTAATTGCTAACTGTAGATGCTATAATCTTCGTTATTTATAGACCAATTTACAACTAGATCGGTTTTACGACATCAAAATAGAATTAAAAACGTCTATTTGAAAAGAGATGTGAGTATTACCTCCGAACAGGAGGTAATTACCCCACAAAATTATACACTAGATACTAGTGCAAGTATAAGGTATACGCGCGGTGATGGGGCGAGGTGTGTATACTGGTGCCAGTCAGGCCAAGTGAGCTCCATTCACACCACGTGGTCGCTTCTCTAGCGTACGCACACACCATGACACAACGTTTCGTTTGTTTCCGTTCCTTTCGTCCCTCTTTCTCTCTCACTTGTACAGCTGTGTGGAGAATGGTATATTAACCACCTCAACTGTATATAGTACCCTCGTAACCCACCTAGATTATGTATAGATTAGGCCATGGATTATGTAAATCTAATTGACAATGTTTGAAAGTTTGAGAGAAGCACGTGTATGTGTGTGTGTGTGTGTGCATGTGTGTCAGTGGGAGTGTGTTGTTGTACGGAATGAATGAAGTGCCAGGCATTCCATACTGTCTGGTGACCTTGCGAGTCGTCCTCGACACGACTGTGTTTACAGCGTCGTCCTGAAACATGTACCGACCCTGTAAACTTTGCGTGAGGCTTACAACTGCCGCAATACAAGCCTAAATATGTAAAGTGTATCTTACAAACTCGACAAACAGCTCCAATTTGGAACAAATCGTAACAGGATGGAAGTGTGTGGAACAGACCACTAGAAAGTGGCACAGTGGGAGGAGCAGCTGTGACCGGATAAACTATCGCACCTTACTACTTGATTCACCTTTAAACTGGACTCATTCATGCCTCGATTTACAAACACATTATCGTATACGCATTTTATATACGCTGGTTTCTTCCGTACCACTATTTGAGTATTTGAACTGTTAACAAATGGTATTCGCAAGATAGAAAAGGTACTATGTATTTCGAAAAATTCAGTTGGTCTCCAAAACGATCGCCTCTTGATACTAGGCAGGAGAGAAAGAAAGACAAGCAGCTGGCAGTGTTTCCGAGTGAGTATAGTGTGCCGTTATCACGCCACCTGTGCCACAGTGCCGTCATGCTGCTCCATATTACCTCACACTAGTGTCCTGGTGGTGTGCCATGCACTACACAAGTAGTTCTGCCTTCACTCTTTACTACAGAGGCACTCGACTCCCTGTCACGTGGGGAAAAACAAACCGAAATATTAAAAAAAAACTACAGTGCCAGTTGAGAAATCCCGAGTTTTCAAAACTTTTCGTTGTTGGCTTTGGTTTGCGGAAATAAAAATAAATATCCAACAGCCAGTGATTTTGCAATTTTTTTCATTCATTCAATTTTATGCTGCGACTAAGCATTCTAATCCCATGACTGATTAGTTAGCGTGTACACTTAGCCGGTATTGTGTAGCTTACGGTGTTGAGATGGCGGGTAAACTACCCTCTTATTGGTTCCTTGACCAATTGGTGCAAATTAGAGCAAGTTGAAACAATGGGAAGAAAGCGAAATATTATAAAACCAACGTATCGACGAACTCTCTTGGTTTTGGGAATGTTTCGTGCTGAACTTTTCATATATTATCACTTGTTCCATTTGTCTATATTCCCGAGTTGTAATTTAAGCATAACCTTTACACACAAAGCTGGTTTAGAGCTTCCTCTTTAATACGCAAACAAAAAGGTTCTCACCAGTGTGGAAAAAAGTTATAATTCCACCCTGGTAATAGTGCATAAAATACACGATACTGAGCACGTAAACGAAATATTAAGAAACAAACATGAATTCCCGGCAAACAGCGAGGCACTTGTAATTTAATCGTTTCAGAATTTTTCGGCCCAAATATTAGTGGGATAGTAATGATAATCAGGTGAGGAGTCAGTCGGCTTCCGTATGTGTTGCTACAGTCACAGCTGACACACTCCTCCGTTATTAATTATAGTCCATAAACTCCAATTATAGCGTCAGCCGCTAGCGAATTATATCCGTGTAACTGATAGAGCCTTATATAATCTTACTCAATTTATTTGAATTTTATTTGTTAATTTTGACAGTCAAAAATATGAAAAGAAAACAGTAGACTAAAGTCAGTGGAATTATTAACTTTCTATTTAATTCATGGTGATGCCCCTGACGTCATATTCAGAAGACTGGGCTCAACGAGAGTGAGTTATGGACGACCTTTATCGATTGCGCTAACGTTCCGCGTCCACCATGAATAAAACTAGTCCCTTGCTCCTCGCTTACTCCACCACACACGCCTCACACGAAAATCTAAGAGAAGTTGCGATGGATAAAGCAGCATAAGGATAGAAAAGACAACTCAAAAACTCCATTTTCATTACTCAAGCACGGAAGACTCTTGTTCCAATTTATTTAGACATTTTGTCATTTTGTTTAGTGTGTTTATAATATTTAAGTAAATGAATCGTACTTCTGTTCAATTTATATCTTGTAAGGATTTTGATACATTGTGTAATATCTTATGGTTTTGTTTAGAGGTGAAATATTATGGTAAGAAGTGGGTGAGTGAGAGGAGCAGGTTATAAGGAGAAATATGGGGTGAGTGAAGATTAAGGAAGCGATGGCTATAGTATAGCGTCAGTGACGTCATCATGTCCCGCGCGCAGAATAGCTTGGGTTCTTTGTGTGAGTTTACCAGAAATGTTCACCTACCGACACTGCTATTCTTTCGATCAATCACATCAGCAAGGCCCGTGAGCCAACACTGTCCCGCGGGACGTGTCGTACCTACACAGTGAGGGGTGGCTAACTACTGGTTTAATAACGTGTTTACCCTCCTTATGTCCCCCACAGGTAATGGGGCCATTTTAGACGCGGACTTCAGGGCGGGATATTATTAAAATGTAGCCGTTTACGTTCTCGGCGAGATTTAAAAAGTTTAAGCCCCATTTCTCTCTTGACAAATCAATTTTCGTGCTTGATTCCGTGATCTGGTCGGCTGGGCTGTGGGTGATAGAGCACACGCCCTCTTTATTGACACACACACACACACACACACACACACACACACACACACACACACACACACACACACACACACACACACACACACACACACACACACACACACACACACACACACACACACACACACACACGTGTGTTTCACTATATTTCCCGGTCGAGGCCGGAAACAAATGGGCATAATTTTTTCGCCCTGATGCACCTGTTCACCAAGCAGTAAATAGGTACCGGAGAGTTAGACAGCTGCTATACGCGCTGCTTCCTGGGGATGTGTGTGCATGTGTTAGAGAGAAATATATGCAGTACACATAATAGGGGGAAAAATAAATTTTGGTGGATTAGTTTCTCAGTTTAATTAATATTACGTAATGTACGTCTGCAATTAATTTTTACCTTCAGTTTAAGTGGATCTAGTTTAATTAGTATATTATAAGGCCAATACCCAACCTGTGAGGGGTAGTAAACCCCCATACCCATCCTGTGAGTGGTAGTGGACCACTATACCCATCCTGTGAGTGGTAGTGAACCCCCATACCCATCCTGTGAGTGGTAGTGGACCACCATACCCATCCTGTGAGTGGTAGTGGACCACCATACCCATCCTGTGAGTGGTAGTGGACCCCATACCCATCCTGTGAGTGGTAGTGGACCACTATACCCATCCTGTGAGTGGTAGTGAACCCCCATACCCATCCTGTGAGTGGTAGTGGACCACCATACCCATCCTGTGAGTGGTAGTGGACCACCATACCCATCCTGTGAGTGGTAGTGGACCCCATACCCATCCTGTGGGTGCTAGTGGACCGCCATACCCATCCTGTGAGTGGTAGTGGACCCCATACCCATCCTGTGAGTGGTAGTGGACCCCATACTCATCCTGTGAGTGGTAGTGGACCACCATACCCATCCTGTGAGTGGTAGTGGACCACCATACCCATCCTGTGAGTGGTAGTGGACCCCATACCCATCCTGTGAGTGGTAGTGGACCACCATACCCATCCTGTGAGTGGTAGTGGACCCCATACCCATCCTGTGAGTGGTAGTGGACCACCATACCCATCCTGTGAGTGGTAGTGGACCACCATACCCATCCTGTGAGTGGTAGTGGACCCCATACCCATCCTGTGGGTGGTAGTGGACCACCATACCCATCCTGTGAGTGGTAGTGGACCCCATACCCATCCTGTGGGTGGTAGTGGACCACCATACCCATCCTGTGAGTGGTAGTGGACCCCATACCCATCCTGTGAGTGGTAGTGGACCACCATACCCATCCTGTGAGTGGTAGTGGACCACCATACCCATCCTGTGAGTGGTAGTGGACCCCATACCCATCCTGTGAGTGGTAGTGGACCACCATACCCATCCTGTGAGTGGTAGTGGACCCCATACCAATCCTGTGAGTGGTAGTGGACCACCATACCCATCCTGTGAGTGGTAGTGGACCACCATACCCATCCTGTGAGTGGTAGTGGACCCCATACCCATCCTGTGAGTGGTAGTGGACCACCATACCCATCCTGTGAGTGGTAGTGGACCCCATACCCATCCTGTGAGTGGTAGTGGACCACCATACCCATCCTGTGAG